CTTGTTACCACAATAGGTACTCATTTTCTTTGTAACCGTTTAAGGTACTTTCACCCTAGTTGGGTGTAAAATCGCAAAGATTTTTTGTAAAAGGTCCCGCATATGCTTAGTTGCTTTAATTATTTATCTGCTGAAGGATAAGGATTTTCTGTTGACACCTCTAAAGACTGATGAAATCTATCACGAATTGTAACATATCTTCCAATAAAATAATTATCTTCAAATTGTGCTGTCTGTCTGCTGAGCTTTTGTATCCAAGATTTTTCCGTAAACGGTTCGTCGGGGGTTTCTGCATTGATTGTTACACGTTTCATCATCATAACCCTTTCCCGAAAGCCTAAAACAATCTGATTGACATCGTGATGATGCCTTACATCAGCATGTAGAAAATCTGGTATCTTTATTGGACATCTTTTGAATATTCTTTGGTCTAAAGGGCTGATGATTTTACCAGGTTTTATGCGATTCATAACATGTTCAATTATGGGGCTATGTTTGTTATCTTTTTGTATTGTATTTAGAGCTATTTTCAAAATTCGATTTACAGCCAGATTTGGATAATCATTATGTACTACAAATGTAATATGACACGATTGCAAAACCGTTGAAACCATTTTAATATCTTCACTTTCAGAAGCAAACATTTCTTTTTCTTGGTTATTGAGAAGAGGAGAAGTATCAAGTATTATTATGCGATCATCTGTGACGAACATGTCCAAAAATGGACCACCATAACTTTTTAAATTAGTTGGAAAAACCTCATTTATTTTGTTGAAGGATATTGAAGTGTCATCTTCTTTGAAATTAACATAATTTTGATCAGCTATTATATTCATTAAGGTTGATTTTCCAGCACTTTTAACTCCAATGACTCCAACCACTAAAAAATCATTGTTGCTATTGTCGAGGTAACACAAAACTTTCTTTTCAAAATTAAAGTTGGGCAACATTAAACGTGCTGAAGACTTCATCTTGGTGACTTGATGAGAGCTGTTTGGTTGTACTGACATTTTCATTTTAACATGATCTAATGAATCATTTGTAACTTTTGAGAGAACTTTGAGGTGATTTGAGGAATTTGGTCCTTTATCCTTCGACGACTCGTCATTTCTATCACTTTTCTTTAGAATAACTGGTTGAATAAGCTTCGACATGACACTGGATTACAGAAATAAATATTAAAAAGTAATTAACTGAAAGGTAAACTCCTAATTTAGTTGATCCATTATAACTTAGGAACAGAATAAACATAAAGCCTTGTAACAAAACAATGGTACATTGAAAACAGTACTAAAGAATTAGGATAAATAGGCAAATGCGATAGACCTAAAAATCAAGTCCAATTTGAGTACACTTAGTTTTAAGTTTAAATTTTTCCACTTTCTACAGTTAAAGTTACCTACTTGTAAAAATTTGTTTAAGATATTTCAGCTCTTTTCACTTCTATTTGTGACAACTATATGTTCATCTGATAGATTGTTGTTTTTCAAATAAAAGTTTAGCATCGTTCGTTGTGTTAAAATTAGTAAATTATTATTACTTCTGAACATATGTCATGAACGTAGACAGTTGAGAAATATAGCAATGAGAGAGAATGAGAATCATTTCAACGATCTAAATTGAAATTCAATTCCGATTGAAATTTTAATTTCAATCCTAGTAAATAGGTAGATATTTTTTGGATAATATTTTGTTATTGAAATAAAAATTCCAGACCTTGATTAGAGCAATCTTAACCATGTCCAACACTTATGTCTTTTTTCACTATCGGAGATTTTTAACTTTAATTTATCTTGATGTTTTAAAGGCAGATCCGAATGCAATTTTTATTTTTGATAGATAAATGATTTCAATTAAATTTCGATATAATCCTTTTGATAATAAATTTCACTCGATAGTAAATTTCATAACATATTTTATAACTTTTTCCCGGTCCTTTCAGCGAATGATATACCGAGAGTTAAATGTACTAATATTTTAAAATTAAATTTGTAATTAGGTAAATTTGCATACCTACCTGTTGTAAAAGTTTTAAAAGATGCAAAATATTTGCTCAATTTTTATTTTTTACAATTGTATATTTAAAATATGTAAGATATATATTTTATATGAAATTTGAAAAATAATTTAACAAAATTAACAAGAAAAAAGGTAATTACAAATGATCACTATGTGTCACTTAATGTTATATGCATATGAAATAATTTACCAATTATGATGCCTAAAACAATTGATGCTACCAATGCCAATGTTCTTAAATTATCTAACATAACATCATAATTTTAGATTTCAATTCATAAGGTTCTTCTAACTTCACAAGATTTCAACTAAAAATGATAATTAACAAATAAAATATGAGAGTACATTTGGATACTTTATATTACTCTTGTTTTCATGAGTTGAGCACATTCATGAGCACATTTTTAATTTAAAACAAAGCCACGTTTTATTGAATATCTGTAGTTTATTTTTTTATAAAAGCAAAATGTTAACTGATCTGAATAGTGAGTTGTACTTTGAAAAGTTCAGTAATGATTAGCAGACGTCTATTTAGAGAACTTTTCTGGTAAATTAAAGTATTACATTTTGTATTACATTTTCATTATGACTTCGGCTGTCAAGGATCTATCCAACCAGAATTCAAAATTGATCCTATATTTATTTTTAAAATTTTGAATCATTTATGTATCCACTCATGATTAAAATGATAATTGGATTGTGAATGCAAAACTGTGAATAGTGTGTAGTCAACTCGAATCAATTTCCATTGGAGTTGGAAAGTGTTGTTATTGACATTTATCACTTAAATCCATTGTAATTCGATTTTCGAGGCTATTAGATGAGAATTCCTTAACGGATCTTGTCTTAGACCTGATGATGATGATGATGGTGATATTTTGATTGAAATCTAATCTAACAGATTCCATCTTAATTGAATTTTACACTAAAAAATTGAGTTATCTCTTTCTTTTAATGCGGCTCAATCATAAAATGCTCAACTATTCCTCTTGAAAAAGCATAGGCTCAAAATCAAATAAAAGCATTTACTAGTTTGCATATTTTTTGAAAATAACTATTAAGAATACTTTTTTATTTCGAAAAATAACAATAACTAAAGAAAGAAATTAAAATTATACAACTCATAAGTTAATATATTATGATTGGTAGATATTTTACCAAAAGGAAGGATTAATGCACTTAATATTTAATAAATATTCCTTATATACCTATTTATAAAGTATATGAACATATTTTTAACTTTAATTGCCGTAGCAAATAAAAGAAGATTGACATTTTCTTTTGAGAATGTCTATTGAAATTTCTTTATGAATATCAAAAAAGCAATGCTGAATGAATTTGTATGGAATTCAAACCAAATATAACTTGGTCGGGCGTGGCCTGAAAATAGACAATTTAAAATTGTAAAAAATTTATAAATTCAATCCGAGCTTTATCACCACGAATGAAATGGATTAATATCAGATTGGATTCATTATTAGGTAGGTAATTATCTTTATTTTTACAATCTTGAATTAACTTTTTATTTTAAAAGCACTCCCAATCAGGATTAGCTTGTATTGATAAATAGATTTCAATTCTACCAACGAAACATTTTCAAAGGAATATTATCTATCTTTTTTTATGAATACGGTTGGCTCTAAATTATAATATTGATCAACATCAGATAAAATTTATTAATGCGTTAGCATGTGCACTAAATTCTAGGAAGAAAATTTTATTATTACTTTTAATGTTATGTTCAATATTTACAGAACTAAAAAAATGTTTACAGAACTAGAAGACTCTGATTTGAATTACGAAATCGTAATTTTTATCCGTAAAAGTTGACATCACTAATTATTGAGATAGATTTCAAAAAAAAATATATATTTTTTTATAAAGTATAGATAGAAACAATAGAAAAGGTTACTGAAACTCGTAAAATAATTTTAGGAATTCTTCTTTTATATGGCCTCCTTAAGCCATTTGAAATAAAGTACTTTAATACCGATATTATTTTACCAGAATTAGCTTTATTCTTCAAAACATAAGTTTTTTGTTCCATTTCTTATGTTCCAACTTAAATTGATGCCAGTTTGAATCTAATAACACTAACCTACTTACGAATCACTTGACGGAAGTCAATTAGAAAATATTTGAATAATTGATGTGAATTTTGATACTTCGGCTAGTGTGTTTATACATTTTCCAGAAAAAAAGCTTGATAATTACTTAATGCACCCAAGCATCCTTGAAAACTTGTAATCAAAGAAGTGACATCAACTAGCTACTCAATTTTGAGACAATCAATAACTCAGTTTACCAAGGATTTCTCAATAAGAGCAATGGAGTTACAATATTTTAAGATTCTTTTAAATTCCGATGCTTAGATAATAATCAGAAGAGATGTATACATCTTCTATGCATAATATAAGATCACACTTTAATATAATACGGTTCCTTAATTAATCTAATATGAAGCTTATTGGCTTGCATTACAAGTGTAACAATTAGGTAATTGAATTTTAGGTATATTCAAATGTCATAATTACTTTATATCTAATTATATAAATTATAAGTATGTATATAGGTTATTTTAATTGGTTTTGCTACATTTGAAAGTATCTGAGAACACTGACTCGTTCAATGATAATGCATATTCATCACCACTTTCAAGGCTCCACACGTCGAAATGGGTTAATAACTCGTGGTCATCTACTGATGATCGTAGTAATTGCTTGTCATCATCATCATCATGTGTTGATTGATTTTTTTTGGTTAAATTGGATAAGTGATTGTTATTGCACTGTGAATTCTCACCATAACATTGATTGAGTCATAGTCGTAAGTCATATGCTATCTTACTCGCAATATTTTTGAATCCAATGCTTGTTCCTAGTGAAGAAAACCACCAAATTATTAAACATTCCTTTCAGTATTAAAACCTTTAAGAAATAATAATGGACGCATGCTGCTAAAATATTACCTGAAATTCGCTTGAAGCGTACGCCGTTTAAAGACAAACGGGGTAATTTGCAAACTTCAATTTCCCACTGAACTAATGAATCTGTGTTTGGATCACCGTGAACGCATAGTAATACAAATCTGTTCAAAATAATGTTGTAAAATTCAAATTTATTATTTACTTATTCTGTTCATACATACCTTTCTCTTTGCTCATAATCGCAGTTATTTTTATCCAGTACTGATCTGATTTCTGCCATAATATCATCTGGAAGTCTTGGAGAGGTCGTTTTCATAGACCAAGTAAATCTTAAAGCTCGAGGTTTTACTGGCTCTTCAGCATTTGAACCACTATAATGGAAGAAAAACAAATAAAGTTCAATACATATTTGACTCATAGTAATCCTAATTCAATCCAATCTGTTTAACACGATTTAACACTAAACTTTCATTATATATTTTGCGAAATAACAAAATCTGACTTCAATCTAAAGAATTAGAAAATCACACAGGGTGGAATTTTAGCACTCCCACCCCAAAACTTTAAAGAGAAGTACTTTGGACTGTACATCCTAGATATCTCAGCTAAATTGGATATCTTATATATCTACTAAGATCTCCAGGATATATGATATATCTTATCGGAATATTTTGTTCCATAAAAATTAAACAACAATCGTCGTAATGATTTGTAGAGAATTTAGTTGATTAAAGAAAATTAAGTAAAACTTACTACCAAATATATATAAATTAAATTGGGAATTTTACTTTTAACAATTATACTATAAGAGTTTTTTAAATTTCTTTTGAGTATGTGATCTATGTCGTGTTTACTGAAATGTTTTATGAGCAATAAAACTTTTGAGATACTATCCTAACCGTTTCAATCCAAACGTGATTCTGGTCAGGTGCAGATGATCCGAAATTGAAGAAACAAATTTGATTAATTTTAATAACACATTTACTTCTAAATCGTTAATTTTTTTACATAGCGCTTGAATCTTGTGTATTCAAACTAGAATATAATTAAAAAAAATTCCATTTTCCTATTCTTCTCTAAAATTTACTTTCTCTGTAAATAAATTTCTATTCTCTTCTGCAAGATTCAAGACATCATTATTCATATCTTCTTTGATAATGAGCTCCTGATTTATTTTCGATACAATTCGAATAAATAAGCTTCCAAAAATGTTACTAAGTCAACAATAATAACTTTGCATTTTTCCGCAGCGTCAAAAATAAGGAAAAAAATACTAACTTTTTCACACATCAGAATTTAGAACCACTTCGTGTTCACAAATAAGTATTTTAGAGATATCATAATTGTAATAACTTAGAAAGCATTGCTTGTTGAAGATATCAGGAAAATAAATCAAATGGTGATATTACTACTGCTTGAATTGGCATTTAGGAATTGGATTATAAGATAAACTGTGATGACAATAAATATTTACCTAATAGCTGAATTATTTAAAGTTTGGCCATCGATGGGTCTAAAAATTAATAAAAGGCAATAATCATTATAAAAATAAAAGAAAATTAAAAACAAATAAATTTAAGAATTATATGAGAACTACTTATATGAATTAAATATACTAGTAATTAAAATATATATTTTAAAATAACGTCATTTTCCCTTTTCCGCAAACATTTATAGCTATGTTCATAAAAGCCGAACAGAATATAGAATTAATCAACGTTTTTCTGCAACATTAAATAATCTCATTTAAAACTACAGTGTACGCCCTATGTATATAAAACTTTTTAAAAAAAATTTCCCACCCTGGAATCTGGCCAAAACGCTTGAAAAACTTCGGAAAATTTAAAAAAAATATCTTGAAACTGAGAAAAGAATTAAAGAAAACATCGAGAAACGGATCGGAAAAATCATAATTTTACGAAGTTTTTCACGATTTTTAATGGTTTCTAAGATTTTTCTCTCAGTTTCAAGAAAAAAAATTCCAATTCGTTTAGGGGCTTGAATGTGGGAAAATTGTGCCAAAGATTCTGCCTTAATAATATAGTTTAGGGTTGAAACTTTTTTTTGATTTCTACCTCTAGCGCCCTTTGGTGTTACCCTAATGAAATGAAAGTTGTTGGAATAGTTGCAGTATGTATAAAGAAACAACTTTCCCAAACACACCTCATACTGTAATTTTATAGTTCAAGTTTTATAGCATGTTTGTCGCTCATTTCATCTTCAGCGTCCATCAAGTGAGCAATGCGTGAGCCACGCTGTGCCTATGAATAAAACTGTAAATTCGACTCTAACTTAATATTTCGACTTGTTCCTTTATTGAAATTTTAATGATTGATAAAACACTTTTTCATTTAAGAATTCCAAAAGTAATTCCTTGTATGAAAAAGCTTTATAATTGTGCCTCCCTTTGGCTTACATACATAGAGCGTATTTTGTACTCTAGACCAGAATAACATTTGGATTGATATTCATGAAGAGGTTTCAATAACAAGCGAAAACACATTTATACATATTTATATTTATATTCAATGTAATCTCGATATAACCAGAGCTGAGCGATCCAATTTTTCGATAGCCCAACTCTGGAAAAAATTCTCTTGACAGAACGATTTTCTCGATACAATGATATTTTTTTTTTGTCTCTTCAGCCATCGAGTGTCACCCATACCATTGCCATTCTAGGCTACAATTGACTTATCTACTGGATCAAGACCCGCATCTTTTACCCCATACTTAAGGTACATAAGTCATATTTGTTATCCACATCACATGTTTCTGACAATAAGAGTAATTCATTGCAATGCTTAGATAATTTTAAATGTTTTCGAATATAGTTTTTGATTGCTTAAAACAAGAATAAATGAATTCTGTCTCCGTAATTTTTAAATTTGCTTAAGTAATTCTAAAATCTCTTTATAATATGGAGAGATTTAGGATTCACTGAAGACCTTTAGTATGTAATAACATGAATTCCATGTATTCTGAAAAATTACTTACCGTTTACTGAATCTATTGGATATTCTTTGTAGAAAGCTTCCGCCTTTATTCATGAAAGTTGTATCAGTATTTGTGTTTCCATGTGTTGCACTATTTCTTGTTCGAGTTTGGCCTAAACAATAAAGAAAATATAAATTGGAAAAAACAAATAAGCAATACTCAAAGATTATGATGAATATCACGAAGACTGAAAACATAATTGCTCGGTTCTAAAAACGTCATTTCCATTCTTACATAAAATCAAAGTTAGGCGGCTTTAAAGCTTTAAAAAGCTAATAAATTTGTACATGCAATCTTATAAGTTTTCTTCCCCTAAAAATTCTTAATTCCCAAATTCTTTCAAAAGAAAGGTTTGAAGAAAATTTTATTCAAATTCAAAAATATTTATCACTCACCTGAATGAAAGGTTGATCTTGATGGAACATTTCTGGGGAATGCCAAGGGTTGTCTGAAAAAATAAATGGAATAAAGAATTCACATTAATTAATCATCACATTTATATCTTTGAACAAAATATTTCAAAATATTTTAAATTTAAATGCTACATATATTCTATACTGTGTTCATAAAAGTAGTTAGAGAGTTTCAAGTTTGAAAATGTATTTCTACAAAATCAATCGTATGTATAAAGAGAAGATTGAATTTAAAATTGAATATCCTTTGAAAAAACCTTTGGATAATTCAATTGCAAGCCAATACCGGCTAGAATACATATATGTATTGAAATCTCATATAAATTCAATTCGAATTTAAGTTTAGAGTATAATTAGCCAATATATTAATAATATTTAGAGATTCAAAGGTTCGCTCGTTTATAGAATTATATATCATCACACGACTTAGGACTTAGGGTAACAAAAATCATGATTGCAGGTAAACTTAAATTTGTAGAACAAATAAATATTTCTTACGCAATAGAGTTTAGAGAATAAGTAGGGAGCTAATGAAATCGTTTACGTAATACGATAAGCGTATTATGACCCTAGAATAATAAAAATTTTAACTGATGCTTCAAAGTGCATTGATGATTTTTATGAAGAGGTTTACCCGCAATCATTAATTTTGTAATCTTCAGTCGCGTAAGTATCTTATTTAGAACACAAAGCAAGTTTTTTTATAAAGCATAACATACTCAAAAACTTACGACAGATAAAACCATCATGTGAATTTTTTTCTTTTTTAACTTTCAAAAAAATGTTTTTTGACAAATAAATACCGCTTATGACCCTTAAATAAGAGTTATAAACAATAAAACTTTCAACTGATGCATCAAAATGTATTGACGAATTATATGAAGAACTTCTTCAGAAGAAGTTTACCCGCAATGATGGTTTATGTTACCTCAGCCGCGTAGGTATTTTTGTTAAAACTTAAAGCGCTTTCATAAAACATGACATACTTAAAAACTTACGACAGATAAGACCATCATGTGAATCTATTTCTTTTAAACTTTCAAAAAAATTTTTTTTTTCGACAAATAAATAACGCAAGAAAAGTATCTCAGATTGATTTTTGATTTGGAAGATTTATAAAGATGACTCAATGAAATAATGAAACTCACCGTATCCAAATGTTAATTAATTCGTCAAGGAATTGAAAAGAATAAATACCAAATGTTAAATATTTTTAATATCAAGAAGGGATACAAAGTAGAAGTGGTGCTGTTAAACTTTAAAATGTTTATTGAAAAACCAATCATAATTATTTCTCAGAGACAAAAAAATGTTCTTTAATGACTGTTACTTGCGAGAAATTAATTTTTTTGAAAACCTTCCATAAATTAATAAAAATAAGAAATATTAGAGGGATAGGAAGACTGAACTTTTAGTCTTGCAAAATAAAATTCATATTTGAAACGAAAATGAATGAGAATGAAACAGAATCTGTTGCTTATCTAGACGGTCTGAATAGCTTTCTAGAACTTTAAAGCACGTCTCTCATATACTTTATTCAATTAAGATGTCATAACAAAGTCATGGTTTAGAAATTCAAAGGACCTAAATAAGAACAAGAGCACTTTTATAACTGTATGAACATCAATGTTTATCGCATTCGGATGCGGGAAGGAAACTTTTAAAGAGGTAATCTTTATTATGTATTTTGTTATCATACTCTTAACTGAATGTATGAGTTTGATGCAAAATTTCTTGAAAGCTAATATACGACAAGTTCTTCCCGTCAATCGATAAGTCTTTGACCCGAAATTTAATCGAATTACAAAAAATCGATAAATGAAATCATCAGTCGCAAGTTTCATATGTGTGTTTAATTTATTTAGAAAGATTTAGATTAATTAAATTCTTTTTTTATAGGAACAATTTAATAAGAAAGAAATTTGCTATTACTCATCAAGAGTGTTTATGATTCATGAGAATTCGTTCTTTGCCGATGCCGAAAATTACTATATTAATTATTAAAATTACAAACTTAAGTATTTACTTGCTGTTAATAAGGTTAAAATACTCGAATATAAGTAAACTCCAAATGTAAAACGTTAATTTTTCAATTTGGCTTTTAGTGTAATCAATTACAATTAACGTTTCAAAGCAATGCATGCGAACTTTTATTCAATTTATGAGGTTCGATTATCAGTATTTCTCTGATGTGACGTCAATGAGACATTAGATTTTTTTTGGGAACATCGCTAACGTAGTAAAATAGTAGCGTAATAGCAACGTTTTCCAAAATTAATAAAATATTGAGAATATATGTTGTATAGGTCTCACTGATAAAACGGCAGTTAAAAAAAATGTATATATGCCGTTCATGTTCGCTTCTTGTTGTCTTCATCTAAATAAATACGTATAATAAAAAATTTAAAAAAAATTCTTTCGCAGATGTCACAAACATTAAAGTTAAATTGCTCATCTATGTATCTATGTAAATAACATATAATACCAAGTAGATACTTAAGTTTTAGAACTAGACCCAATTCTACAGATAACGGGAAGATATTTCTCTATTAAATCATAAGATTTGTTATGGCTCAAAATTCTTTTACGACCAATTTGTAACTAAGTAATCCAAAGTAGAAACCATAGATATAATTTTTTATAAAATATATTATTTGTTATTTTATTTATTATAACTTACAGTCGTATTCATAAAGAATTCTGTATGAATAGTAAAAATACCATTCTAATTGAATTTTAATGTTTTCCTGCTCGCGACTGCTTTACAAATGGGCATTTTAAAATTAAAAAACAAGTAATCAATTTTTTATGAATACAACTGTTAGGGATAAATTTTATGATTATTTATGATTAGATACATATATTTTCATATTAATAAATTTGAATTATGTAACTTCCATTAGATTGTTATGGTTTTTATTGGATATAATATGTATATATATATATAGATATCTAACCTTTGACGCAATGGATCTGAAGGCGTAGTGATGCTAGATGAGCCAGGACTAGAAACCGAAGCACTTTTAATATGACCCTTTGTTGAAGCAGTTGGTGTTCTTTTAGTATCATAAGAAAATGGAATAATTTATAATGTTTGCTACTATATTTATGGAATAAATTGTTGCAATTTATTTATTTTCTACTAAATTATTCATTTTGAAAATTAAAGTAGAAGTAAGTTTAGCCGAACATTTTATCATCATAAAACTTTAGTATCTATTTCATAATTATTTATCCCTTCAGTTTTCAAATGACATTTATATTTTTAAAAATCATGGAAAACCTCGTAAAACTATGAAAATTTTCACTCTGGAATTTTTAACTTCCAAAAATTTCCTTTGATTCTCCGATATTATTTTTCGAAGTTTCTCATAAAAAAATCTGAGTTTTCCAAAAATTTTTTCGATATTTTAAAGATTTTCCGAAATTTACGTATCGTTTCCTTACGTTTTTCATAAACTTTTAAAAACTCTTTTATAATTCTTTTAATTTATTATGGATAAGTATTATGATTTAACACACATTTGATGCTCGATTTAAGGCTTGCGAGTCTCTCTCAAAAAAGTTTAATTAATCGTGTCTGCATGGCTTTGATCAAGAAAAAGTATGAAAATTTTGATGTAACTTGACATTAAAACTCGATATTATGTAGATTTTTTAAAATTTTCATGTGAATTGTATTAAAAAGCATATCGTACGGAATTTAAAACGGTCAGCTAAACCTAATTTCACTCTAAGATGTATATATGAAAGCAGAATAAGTTATAAAATAAATAAGAATTATAAAATAAGAATAAAACTAAAATAACTTCTTTGGAAATAGCCCCAATTTTAAGATTTTGGCTCGAATAAATTACTCGGAAATTTTATATTAAAATGTTTTAAAGAATAATAAAATTAGCATCGCATTTTCAATGAAATTATAAAATCGACTTTTTCATGTACTGATTATGTACATGATGCATGATACTGATCAATATCAAAACATATTATAAAAAAAATACTCACGATACATCTCCTGATGCATTAGTTTTCTCGGTAGAAGCTGTTTTCTCGTAGAGTGTTGTGGATCTTCTGGGGATCAACCCAGCAGTTCTATTTGTAGTCACGTTAGGCTCTATTTTTCCAATCGCTTTTGCGGGTGATGCAGAAGAAGCTAAAATTAAAAAAAAAACGTTTATTTTTATTATTAAATTTTTTATGTCTTTACAAAGGGAAGGGAATAAAGCTGTAACAACTTAATTCTGATATTTTTATATTATTTTATAATTTTCATAGGTTGTACTTTTGAGATAACGATGTCTGAGAACCACTCTAATTTCAAGTCTAAATTATTTTGTTATAATATTCATTGATATCCCTGGGGATATCATAAAATGTAATGCCAAAGTCAAAGAAAAAATAAATCTTACATGTTTCACTAGCTGCTTTTGTTTGCATTGACGAAGGCCTTTGGTTTTGGGAAGATACTCTAACCGTATTTTCTTTGATAGTAGCAGAATCCAGAGTATTTTGTCTTTTAAAATTGCTGGAGCTATTTTGAAGCGAAATAATTTTTTTAAATGATTCTCATTCACAATGAAAAAAATATTTAAATTACATTGAAGATCTTTCTGCAGTAGAAGCAGCTGCTGGAGCATTGGCAGCAGCAGGAGTTGCCGGAATGTTCGTGTTTGCATTTCCAACGGGAGCTTGATTAGTACCTTATATCAGTAAGAGAAGATAGACTTTTTAACTTAAATTTTGTTAATTTAGGTACTTACGTAACGTTTCTCCTCCAGAAGAAGCACGTCTAGATGGGTTTGTACTGCTAGCTGAAATACTTCGATGAACCCGTCTATGAGATGGTGATTGAACCTGGTTATTCGTATGTATAGGAACTGCGTCTGTACCTGTCAAATTTCTAAGAGAAATGGAGGAACCTGATCTTGATCCATCAGATTCAGGCTATAAAAGATAACAAAATAAAATTTTTTTAAAAATTTTACATTCGTTTAAAGCCATATTCATAAAAACAAATACTAAATCTTAAATGCGCTTGCAAATTTCTTTGTGTAATAATCTGCTCACACACATTCAAGATTAAGCTTTGGGTCCAAAATTTGACAAAAATGAGTAATCATGATTAATTTAGAATAAAATTCATAACTGAATAAAATAGATGAGAATTATTCTATTGAGTCCAATTTTTTAATAGAATAATTCTCATCTATTTTGGACTTTAATTATTTTAAGAAATCCTTTTAATTTAAGTATTATGTTAAATCTTCGACAACTATACTTACGTCAACATTTTTCCTACTTATTAAAAGATAAGTAGCGTGAACATCATCATAGCGTGTTTGAGTCAAAGAAGCTTCAACATCTTCTCTTTTATAGCCCAATGAAACAAGACAATCTGTAGGAAAATAAAAAACATCATGCTAAAAATTATTATTTATTTATTTTTCATTCACAAACCTATTCGTTTCTGATCATTCATGTCCGATGTAGCTTCCTGATATGGTTTCAATTCATCATCATCATATCCCATATTCATCCATTTGTCCTGTTATAAATTTATTGTAGAAACAAAAAAAAATTTATTAAGAAAAGGATTTTTATTTTTATTTTTTGTAAACAGAACAAACTGACCTTCATGATTTGCTCTAAACTAGCACGTTTCGATGGGTTTAGGACCAGAAATTTCCTCAGAAGGTTTTCACAATCAGTGGATATATAGAAAGGTATACGGTATTTGCCTCGTAATACTCGTTCACGGAGTTCACGTAAGGTTGTGCCATCAAATGGAAGCGATCCGCTTACAAGTGTATATAGAATAACTCCTAGCGACCACACTTTTAAAGTAAAATTAAAAGAACAGAATGAATTAAGAAGTATTTTACAATAAATCTTAAGTTTGGGAGTGATAGCTAGCGTGTAATAGTGTTTTTACGTCAGATTTTCTCTTAGCCTTATTAGATTTGTAACATTTAATCTAATACAAAGCTATAAGAGACAACATTAAAGAAACATTGCATATATTTTGCCATAAAGAATTAAATATAACTTTCGATTTAGATATAGAAATGGAGAAAAATGGTGAAAAAAAAATATTTACCATCAACTTCAGGTCCATCATATTTTCTTCCTTGGAAGAGTTCCGGAGCTGAAAGCAAATTAATTCAATGTGATTATGTCATGAATAATATGTACAGGCAAATATATAAAGAACTAAGAGTGATATGAGATTCGCGTTCACTGAGATCAACGAATGCTGACTCATAACTTTGAAAGCATTATTCTCTCGATATCTAGGAATTTTTACGTATGCTCCTTTTTTAAAACAATTTCTCTAGTAATGAAAGAAAACAGTCGATTAGTAAGGTTCTGTTACTGTCGCCTTAAAGAAAGTGTATGGTAAGAAATCGACGATCCAATAGAAATTATATAGTCAGCTTTTCAAAGAAATCACAGAAAATCAAACGGATTGTTGCAGAAATATTCATATTAATAATTTGGTTTCAAAATAAAACTGGCTTTTCCGTTCAAAGCTATCATGGGAATTTAAATAATTAATTTCACCTAAATGAGTTTTTGATAGATTCTCAACAGCTTTCAACCAAACATAAAAAAAGAGTTTTCTTTAAAATTTGAGTTTAACAAAAATCTTAATTTTCTCATTTTCTTCGAAAACTTTCTTAATTCTTCCTAGGGTTTCAATAATTTTCATAATAGTTTTCACTAAAAATTCCATCTATCGAGAAAATCGTTGCATCGGAATAGTCCCGAGAAACCGAAATTTACATGTACGTTTCAAATCAGTCAAGTGGCTGCTTTCGCCATATAAATAAATTGCCCTGACATGTAACTATTCATATTTGCTTACCTGCATACGGTGGACTTCCTGTTTAATTCGTTAAAAAATATTTAATATTAGAATGTTTCAAAAATATTAAATTTAACTTAATAAACTTACCACAAAATGTATCTAATTTTGAACCTGGTGTGAACTCATTGCTGAATCCAAAGTCTGCTATTTTAATATTCATTTCAGAGTCAAGAAGCAAATTTTCTGCTTTAAGATCCCTGGTAATTGTTTAGTGAAAGTAATATGTATTTATTAAAAATTATGCGACTATTACCGATGAATGATGCGTTTTTGATGCAAATATTGAACAGCTGAGACAATTTGTCTGAATTTGGCCCTGGCTTCTTTTTCTTTCATTCTTCCATGCATTACAAGATAATCGAAGACTTCACCTCCAGATGCATATTCCATCACAAGATAAAGGGTTTTGTCAGTTTGAATGACTTGAAATAGTTTTACAATATTGGGGTGATCGAGCATTTTCATTATGCGTACCTAATAATTTAAAATTTTAAGTGATTAAATATTAAATTCGCAATGTTTATTATCATCTCTTACTTCACGAAAAAGTTTCTGCAAACTTGTAGGATTCAACTGAGTCTTATCTATTATTTTAATTGCCACCTCTTTTCCTGTTGGAACGTGCTTTGCAAGTTTCACTTTAGCAAAATTTCCTTTTCCTATTGTTTTCAATAGCCTGTATTTTCCTATTTGTTCTTCTGCAGGACGCCATCGTGCATGATTAGTTGATTGTTGTTCGTCTCCTGGTCTCCAACGATTGTGACTGTTGCTGACACGAGCTGGCATGCTTGGTGATCCCTAAAACAAAATTAAATTTAGAATTTAAATACTATAACTTGAAATTTATACAGTCAGTGTAAAATATTTTCATAGCACGATATTGAAGGGACCCAAAAATTATCGTACCACCGAGAGATTGTGCTATCAAGAATTTTAATGGAAGATTTAAAAATATATTGAAAATGCATATATCGTCAGCCCACCAATGAAACCACACAATTCTTTCCAGTTTCACATTATTCATATAGATATATAAATACTGAAATAAAATGAAACTATTTGAGTTTACCTTTTGCTTCTTCAACTGATTTACTGCCTTTCCCTGTTTGCTCACAGCAACTACCGGCAACCCCCCATCAATCATTGTTACCATTACTTTTTGGTTTTGAGATTGCTTTCCAAAACTCTTTCGCTCAGCATCATTACTTTTTTGCTGAACATTGGATAGATTGTTATCATTACTTTCAATTTCAATATTTTTTGGAATACAAGTTCCATCTGGCACCATAATAAGTCGAAAACTTCCATTGGAAAGTTTAATGTAGCAACCATCATTTGATTTATGCTTGGTATTGCTTGGAAGTTTTAAAAAAGTTCCATTTTCTACTTTATAATAGCAAATATTTGTCTGATGATATGACGCTACTGTTTCTTCGCCTGTCACAATATCAGAGTTTCGTTTCTTCTTTGTTTTCTTTTGACTATCCCTCACATCCTTAACTTCAACAGACCCTTCAATATTTCCAGAGTTGTTTTTATTCCTCAGGATAACTGCCTCATTTGAAATTTCTTCCTTATTCGAGTGTGAAGCACTACTATATTTGGTGCTCGCAAGCTCCTTCATTTCGTTTCGTGGGTAGACTGAAGAATGCCGCTTAAAAATTCGCTTGGATGAGCGATTATTTTTTGAGGAAAAATTTGTAACTGCTGAATTATTCTTTTTAATTTTACTCGATGATGCACCCATATTTTATGAAATGTCTTTTTTATTTACATCTAAATATGCAGTGTTAAATCAATTTAATTTCTTAACCAAACTCAACCAAGAAAACTGAATCAAATTTTAAAACACAAAATTTATCTCAATTCATATTGTGAAGATTTCAACTACCTAAAAAAATTTCTTGCCAAGTTCGGTATAATGGAACAGAGGACTGATACAAGAAGTTACAAGTTGTAACTAAACCATCAGAACCTACTTGATATCTAGATCTAAAAGAATTTGGAACATAGGAGCATTATAAAAATGATGTTTCTTATAACTGCATTTAAAGGTAACGTCAGTTCCATATAGGAAATCATTTAGACACTTGCACTTCTTAAATCTTTTCTAATCAAAAGTTATTTATATTGCTTTTCATTATTAAATATTTAAATATTTGCATGCTTTTCAATGCTAAAATGTATGACGTCACATTTGTTTGTTAATTTTTTTTGTATGAAGTCAATATTTATAAGCATCAGTTAAGGTAATTGTATTTTTTTCATGAATATAATTGTTTTTCCATTTGATCATTAATTTATTTCAGAATCAATTTCTTTTTTTAATTTAATCGTGGCTTAGTTTGACTATTCTTAACTCCATTTCTATTCGATATTACTTAAAGAGATGATTTTTTAATGTTACTCTCCTTTTAAAAATTATCATGATTTAAGTCTTTAAGTTTTCTATGTATTATGAATATCCATATGATCATTCGCTTACGCACACATTTACTGTCACTCGATTTTTATGATCTTCTGAAAAATCAACGCAATTTTTGATGATTTGGATTCAAAAGAATGTAGCTAATAACCATCTTTATTGAAATTAATGTATGAATTTTAAAAATTAGTGTTTTAAAATCTTTTTCAACTTTCTTTTAGTTTCAGAGAAAAATTATTTATTTTTCCTTTTTTAAGCACTACCACTTCTAGCCTGTCATTCAATAAGAACTGAAATCGAGTTTCTCAATTGTTTGGATAAATCACCTGTGTGTATGCGCTGACTAACTTATGGAATCAAGTTTATTCGTATATGTGAGTGTATTTCACAGGTGGGCGATGAGCGTTAATAAATACATTGCAAATATATGTATTTGTGTACCGTATTAAATTTTTCAATGCTTGGAAAAGTTCAAACTTAAGAACAAACCCCAAATTAAGATGATAGTAAAAGCACTTACTTTCGTTGAAACAGCTCTTGGCTTAAGAACATTTGTAATATGTTCAATCTGTCCTGATGATATTGGTTGATTGTTTTTTTCAGTTGCAGTTCCAGAAATTGGTTTCGCAGTAGTAGTAGAATTTGCAGAAATTAGAGATGATTGAGTTACATGATCTGCTGGCAGTGATTCTGGAACAGTTTGCAGGGTCGGTCTTAAAGATTGCATTGTGTTTTAGAAAATTTCTTTCTGGACTACCACTATCTAAAATAAAAATAAAATTCATATGAATTGAGGGCTGTTCTTGTTATTCCGATTATAAAATTATCATAAAATGACATAGAATAGTTTAACTTCCTTCTATTTTCAATAATACCTAATTGCAATTGTAGATTTTTAGTGCTTTTTTTCTCTTTCTAATATTTCTCTATATGCCTACATTTTATGCTCATTATCATTAGTTCAGACTGTCCCAAAAGTATTTATACTTATCCAACATGAATTTTGTACATGATTCATGTCAATTTTTTATAACTTTACAACTCTGACAACTTTTTTTCGATCTTGTCGACACTAACACTTACTGTTATCTTTACACATTCAAATATACCTAACTTTTCTTTTTAACACATCATCGGTGAATGTCCTAAAAATGGAGATTTTTCTTTCTGCCCAAATTGTTGATATTCATTCCCCTTTAATAGAATTGTGAAAACTGTCTTGAAAAGCTGAAAAGAATTTCAGCCAAATTCTCTTTTAACTTTTTGAGCAAACTTTTGTTGAAATTTCACGTATTAGAAACTTTTTCACTTTTTTTAACTTCTCATTAAAACTCCACAATCTTTTCCCTTTTACTATTACTTAGATATTATAGTTTATAAAACAAGAATTATTTTGGCCTACCTACCTTTTGTCGCTTAAGAAAATATCAAATGTGATTTAACTTTCTTGAATAAATATTTTCTAAAAAATTTTATTTTAAGTTCGGTTGATGTTATATCCAAACTTTTACAATTTTTTTAGTATGTTGAATCCGACTAGTTAGTTTTTATTGCATTACTCAAAAACTTTTATGCTCGAAATTTATACTACTGCTGCAAAATGTTTGGTTTGTAGTAGATAGATATCAATATTCAATAATACCTTTTCACCATGAAAAAAAATGAGAGAAAACTATGATAAACAGAGAGTGAGAACAAATAACTGGTGTCGAAGTCGAAAAATTGAAACCAAATTTGACCGTTTTTGTCCAATACTTACAATTATTTTTGTTCGATAAATTCAGAAGCATTTAAGACTCACATCTTAACTACTTCTGGATGTATGAGATATAAATCAATTAAAAACACCAAAAACAATTAAACAGAATTATTAATTTATTCTCAAAATTATTTTATTTACCTATAACGTTCTTTTTTAGATTAGATAAGTTTTTCCATATTAACTTGTAATAAGTTTTTATCCAATAAATACCTATTTCATATTCTATATAGGTAGTAACTAACCATAGTTTATTCATCGATTCAAAAAATAGTTATAAGTAAAAGTATGTTTGAAAAATATTTTTAAAGGAAACATAATTAAAAAGCACATTCAGTTTATGCTGAAATACTAAAAGCTGGTCCAATTCGTTGAAATAATCTTTTCAATGCATTCCGTAGCTCAGGCTTCATATCATAACTAATCATGTCACAGAAAAGAGAATAGTAACTTGAGACATGAGCTGTAAACTGTAAAAAAAGATTCGTAACTAAAATAACACGATTGGTGATTAGATAATAAATAAAAAATTACCCTTTCATCTGGCATCTTCAGAACTCTGGTCATAATTAAAAGCATTATTAGTGTCCATGAATCACGATGTGACTCACCCTGTATTGAAAGAAAATAAGCTGAAGCTTCTTTGCAAATGCTAATAAGTCTTTGCTCGATTTCTTTCCAATCATATCGACGCTTTTCATCATTATACATCTTGAAGAGAATTCGTAAAATACATGCAAGAGATTGCGTCTCTTGTTTTAACAAATTTGGTTTCACCGAACCTTTAAAACCCGCTTTCCACAAAATTGTTCTCTGTTCCTGATTTTGATTGAAGCTTTTGGCAAAACGATGGCTTTCAAGGAGACATTCAACAAATTTTATTAAATGAGGTGTACTGAGAAAACTATACATTCCTTGTTCTTCGCGTTGACAATCCTCATGTTCCATTGTGGAATGAGTCAAAATGTTTCCGATTTGATTAAGCTCAAGTGACGCTAATGCCAAAGTTTCTGCATCCTCCTTTTTAGATGTTGCAGGAAAGAAAATTATGTTGTCAATTGTTTGAATAAGCTCCAATTGAACTACACAATTTATTAAAATAACAGAGAAAAGCTCACTTTTGTGGGATATTAAATCTGTTTTCATATTATCTAAGGTCATATTATTTTGGGAATGTAGTGAATGATTTCTTTTCAATATTCCTTGAAGAAGTTCTTTATTGTCGTTGTTAGATGGCTGATTTGTGTGAAAATTGATGTGATGATGTTCGTTTGAAGTAGCTTCAATCTAAACCAAAAGATAATTAAAATTATAAAATTTAATGAAATGAAATAAACTTACATCCAATGTCTTTAACTTGTTAACTTGATCGCGAATTAAACTTTTCAATGAACTAACAACGAGAGTAATTCGAGGTGTTTATAAAAGCTGGTAATTGATAACATAAAGATTTAAATCAACTGTTTTAATTTTTTTTTGGTAAGTTCAATGATTTAATATTCAAAGGATTTTTGGCATGCTTTAATTTTATATGATAGTCGAGTCCACTCTTAAATTTGAAAGTTTCTGTACATTCTGATGATGAACAAATAAATGGACCCATCCCTTGAAAATGTTTACGTTGATGTTTGACGAGCATGTCTCTTGTCTTAAAAGATTGATCGCAAATATTGCAGTTAAAATTTCTTTCTTGTGAATGAACTCCAAGACGATGGCGTTTCAGCTTATATTTAGTTTCACATCTTGCATTACATAAATCACATTGAAATCGTTTGATTCCTTCATGAATATGTGTTTTATGGGCTTTGAGTGTATAAATATTTGAGAAAGATTTGCCACATAAATCACAAGTTGCTTCCTTAGCAAACATGTTAACATTTATATCCATATTGTTAATTATTTATCTCACTTCAAGTACCCTAAAAATATAAAAATGATAATTATTCCATGGTAAAATAGGTAATTTAATTTGCTTACTTGTAGTTTATCAGATTCTAAACTTAANTGCCAAAGTTTCTGCATCCTCCTTTTTAGATGTTGCAGGAAAGAAAATTATGTTGTCAATTGTTTGAATAAGCTCCAATTGAACTACACAATTTATTAAAATAACAGAGAAAAGCTCACTTTTGTGGGATATTAAATCTGTTTTCATATTATCTAAGGTCATATTATTTTGGGAATGTAGTGAATGATTTCTTTTCAATATTCCTTGAAGAAGTTCTTTATTATCGTTGTTAGAAGGCTGATTTGTGTGAAAATTGATGTGATGATGTTCGTTCGAAGTCTTTGCAGAAGGATTAAATGTCATAAGATCATCAGGTAGAGTTTGTTTAAACATTTCAAGAATACAAACGCATGTCGACTCCCATGTTTCATTATTAAACTTAGATCCGTTTGAAATCACAAGATTTTCCAAACAATTTGTTCCACTTCGAGCTAGCTGCTCATTATTTTGCTGTACACACCATTGAAGTTGACTATAGAGATCACTCAGTAACAGTGGACCAAGAGTATCAAAATATTGTGTAAAAACATCAACGATCGCATATAGCGCATGATTACATGTTGTTGTCATCCATTCAGCTTTCTCTGTATGCTGTTCTGGAAGCTTCATATTATCAAAAATTCTAAAGAGTATATTGAAAAGGTCACGCCACCAGTTTGGTTTGAATGATTCACCATAAGTTTTAACTATTTCAAAAAGAACGGTTAATGCTCGTGTTCTCACATCAAGTTTGCATCGATTTACAACACAAGAGAGCGAAAAAAGCATTGGGAACCAACCGCGAACCCACATTCGATCTTCTTCTGTTACATTGATATCATTTTCCATTCCAGTATGTTCAGCAAATTGTTGCGGATTTTCCTTAACTGAAACTGCACATGATCTCAGAAGTCTTATTGCCTCCATTGATATATCAGGAAAGTAAGAATTCGAAGCGAATTCTGACAAACATTTGACGGCATCAGGAAAGGAGTCAATCATTATGCTAAATTGTTTCTTATAAAGCACATTTATGATGTTGCCAGTAGTTTGGAATGCTAACTCAACAATTGATTCATCGTGGTCTCCAGCAGCTAAATGAAATACAGAAAAAATGTTTTTCCATCCGGATCTTATGTTAAGTGACTGTGAATTTATCATCTGAGCAACACATCTTACAACCATATCACGAATTGTTCGAGATTGATTCTTTTTCATGATATGTTCGAAAGGACGGAGAAAATCTTTTTGAAAGCGGAAATTAGAAAATTCTCCTTTCTCGATGAACTTCATTGAAAGTTGTCGCAAAGAGTCGATTGCAAAGAATGCTGTTTCCTCGTTTGTATACGAACCGACCGTATTAAAATAATCGCCTAATACTTGCCATATTCTTGACCATTGTAAGCGGATACGACCCATGTTATAATATGATATTTCAACAATTTTTTGAAGCGAAAACATCCTTGGTTGGGAAGTGTTTAATTCATCTAATGACACCTGTTGAAAGTAAAGTATTATTAATAAACAGTAGTCACAAAATCGAAAATCAATTGTAATGATTTTTACCTGACATAAAGCTTTTACAAAATCAACAATCGCATCACCATCCAATCGAATTGATCCGGTAAAGATTCGATCAACAGCTACAACTACCGATTGTGAACTTGTTTCTCCCATATGCTCCTTCACTGTAGGATCAAGGGCATCACGATGTGTAGGCCCTGATAAATATTGTGGCCGAACCCCAGTTCCAATTAATTGAGCTAGCTCAAGCTGAGATATGCATTTGACAATGTCTAACCAACTTGATCCTAAATAGTTTCCATCTGTGTGTGCAACTGTTATGAGAGTTTTTATCGTGTCAATATTTTTTGATTTCATTTCAGTTAAAGGAGAGTTTGCGGTCAAAAGTGTAAATCTTGCGAGTGCTTGAACATAGGCATCTCTTTCAAGAGTCATGTGAAAGATGCAAGCAATTCTCACAGCACATCTTATACCATCAAGACAGAGAGCAGCAATTTCAGGATCATCACAGTCTTGTAGTCCTACTGAGAAAGCAGCAAGGAATGGAGTCCAAGCCATTTTGAACATTGGTCTAACATGCTCTAGATGTTTAGCCGAAGTAAAAGATTCTCGAACATGTGATACCGACTCCATTAGGTTTTTAGCTGTTGCTGAAATTGCTTCCATCTCCATATTCCATAAAAGTTTCCTCTTTTTCTCATTGATGAATGCCGACCTTCCACTGAACTTGTTGATGACTGTATTCTTCATTTTAATTTCATGACCGGATATTTCATCATAGATTTGAGACAAATATTCTTCAGGAAGGTCTTTACTGTCACTGATACCCCGATTAAGTTTTATGTATTGCTCCTTGCTCATTTTATTTTTGACTTGAGGTGAATGTAAATCAGTTGTCAACATGATAACAGAAAAGGCCAGAACGTATACTGTATCTGCACTTGTGAAAAGAAGATTGTTAGGATTGCAGTCGCAATATCTGCTGGCAAATTTCTCCATCATTCTGTCAATTTTTTGTGCTTCACCAGGCAAGCGAAATCCTTCGAGGAAGAAACGAAGAGCAGTTACGATGTCCATGTCAGAGAAATCTTTACCATCAATATACGCACACATCACAGCCTTACTCATGTCATCATTATCGCCAAGAAAATCTCCAATTTGGGTTTTATCGAGACGATCATCATCAATAAGCCATTTCGCTATGTCTTCTGGTTTTGAACCTAATAGTTTTCGATCCAAGAGAAATTGAATTCCCTTTTTAGGCTTCTGATTAAACTTCTCAATACCAGCTTCCATCAACTCTTTACGCTGCTTTCGTTCCTCCAACTCACCCGGAAGATCTAGAACTTCTTTGTTATCATTGTTACTGTTGGTATTTCCGCTACATGCTGAATTCAAACTAAGGTTCGATCCGCTTTGCTTGATCAAACAGGACGTATCATCATTTATTGTTGACTTATGCGACATATCACCTAATGTTGTCTGCAAATTAGGATTAATATACAAATCTTTACTCCATTCAACTTTGCATTTTAGAATCGAGACTAAGCACTCCAGGCCTTTAATCCTCATAGATTTTTCTTGAAACGATGTAACACCCAACTCCAATGCTTGTCGTCCTTGAGCAATCTTGGAAAGATCATTGACTAGTCGCTCGAAAAGATTCGCGGCAGAGAAGTCACAATCATAATTGATGTATATGTCGACAACACTTTGAGCGTCTGCACATATTCTTGTCAGTGCTTGGATGACCATAAACTTGTGTTCATATGTAGAACTTGATGTTTCCAATATATTGAGAAAGATTTCCTTAAAAAAAACTTCAATTTGCTTCTTCAGATGTACTTTGAAATTTGACAGTAATGCTACAAATATCGATAAAGATAACTCGAACACCTAAAGAACAATGAACATAATTTTAAAACTGAATTATAATATTAATTAAATTTATCCTACCTGAGGAATAGAGCTAACGCCGTTTTTTGACAAAGCAACACATAAATATTGCTTTATTGCCATTATGAACATGTCATTGGATCGAAAAATTGGACCAGCATTTTGAAGAATGGAAAGTAACAAGTGTAGCGATAGTATTTTAGAGCGGAGTTCGTGTGATTTATGATCTGGCTGCCCTTCGGGAAGTGGTTTCATTGACAATTTACATAAAGCACGAAATACTAAAAAAGCGTCCTTTTGAAGAACATGTGTGAATTTCGGTACTGCCACATTTTCATCCGCATTGATCTCCAAATTCGCATCATTATTGGATGATATTGTGCTTTTATTTGTTGTTTCTGCCTGGTTGAATTCTGTTATCTTTTCAGTGTTATTTTTTATTTCATCATTGTTCGTTTCGCTAGGATTTTCTACGATGTTGACAGCTGTTTCAAGTATTTCATCCACAAAATTACGAGCTAACTCTTCAATATTTTCTTCACTTTCCTGTGTAACATTTTGATTCTCAATGTCAAATTTTTCTGAAGTTTCGTTCAGTTTGTCACTGATAGTGTCATATGCTTCATTTTCCATCCTCGTAAAAATTACATTTAACATTTGAGTGAGTGTTGCTCTAGCTGTTGTTTGATTTATCAGACTTTTGCTTGACAGAAATATATCGTAGCAAGTTCGAACCGCCTTAAAAACCAAAAAAATCATAATGCATAAAAATTTTAAACATTGAAACATAGTTGGAAATTTAAAGTTCTTGAAACACGTCAATTTTCTATAAGTTTTGATTATCATTATAAATATATCCAATATACACTTTTTAATGAAATCAATAGATACAGAAATTTCAAGAATATCGTGAATTTTTAGATTATTGATTCAGCTTTTCGATTGACATCTAAGAGCAACATAATCCGTAGAAGATGAATTCACTTAATATTTTTTTTACCTGAAGAACTGTTCCTTCGTGCACTTCAATATTTTGCGAGGTAACGACTGTTAAAAGAGCTTTAATTATTTGCAGTTGCACACCTTCGTCTGTTTGCGGTCCCATAAAGCAATTACATATTGTACCAACTATACGATCTATCAAGAGCTTTCCATTGGGGGAACAAGAATCAGGAACGTTACCGGTAAGATGACCATAAGCAATTAATTTCTGTAAGCAGTCCAATGCCGTAACTACAATTTTCGGTGTTTTACTTTGGCATGCCAACTCGAAGGGTAAAAAATATTTTTCAGCATTTATGTTGTTTGGAGAGTAGTTTTTAGGTAGGGGAAGCGCAGAAGATTTTAACTGATCAACACCAGTAGGATCCAGTCTGTTGTCATCTTCAATTTCCTCTGAAATAAATTACAGTTAAAATTAAAATTTTTAATCCCATAAATATGTTGGATAAGAAAATAAAATTATGAAAATGAAAAATCAATAGAGAAAAAGGAAAGTCGTAGAAAAGTTTTACTATCATATTATTTAATACCTTTCAATGTTGCTATTGCTGTTTCACAAGCTTTTTTAAGCTGTCCTTGCCTCTTGATATCCTTTTCGGAAAGTATTTTCTCTAAAGCTCGTACAATAAACATTTTCTTTGTCTTGTTTGGGCAATTTTTCATTTTTAGAATAACTACCAAATTTTCTGTAAGTAGATGTCAAAGAAATTTAGGTTTTGTAAAATGACAACTCATTATATTTGACAACACACTTAAAGATAGTTTTCATACGTTAATTCCGAGTCATTTGCTGATACTATTTAAATCAAAGTATTTTGTAGATAAATTAATTGCTACATATATGTGGATAAATCTAAAAAATATAACTTCTAGACTTAAGAATTATTTTCTTTCTTGCATATTTTGTTGAGGGGCCTTAATTTTCAACTTTGCATACCCCCCAAGAAATAAAATTGAAAATATTTTGACGGTTTAATTATCTAATGAAATTTATCATTTTCATATCCTTTTTCCGATTAGAACAATAATAAAGAATCGATTTCCTTAACTAAGTTTTGTTGTAAAAAATTCTAATGCTGTGTTTGTCTTGTGTTAATACATATTTTTATTTCACTATTTATTTATTTATCATTAAGAATCTTGTGCTCTAATATTCGCAGGTGCTGTTTATGAGTTAAAAGGTCGATAAAATGGGATTTATATTTAATGAAAATGAGAAGGAATACTTAAGTAATTTAAAGGAACTCGCTCTTTTGAGTACTAAGAGTTAAAGCGAGTTATACTCGATAATGTGAAGATCGTGACAAGTTTTCCATCAATTTCGTATGTAGGGTTTTGATGAAAATTTACATTATTTTATGAATTATGATCCAAGGATGCTGTTGAAGTTTTTCCAAAGGTATACGCTCTTTCGGTTCCAGAACAAGCAATTTTAATATGAAATGGCCTGCTGCCTTGCTTACATAATCTGGAACATGATATTCAATTTTCGCAATTTTTTGAAAATGTTGAAATGGAGCTGCACCAACAAGTACCTACTGTTGAGAAATTTGAACAAAAATTATTAATCATTAAATCTTCATTCAACTTACATTCATAAGCGAGAACTCCGAGACTCCACAAATCAACTGTTTTCGTATATGGCTTTGCTAAGACCATTTCTGGTGACATGTAATCCGGAGTGCCACATAGAGTTGGTCTCATGAAGTGTTACTCTTGAACACACCCAAAATCTGCTAGTTTTAATTATCCATCATCATCATCCAATAGCAAATTTGCGGGTTTTATATCTCTATGAATGATATTTTTTTCATGCAGATAAATTAAAGCAGAAAAAAGGGATTTAATATATCTGCTGCTTTATGTTCATCAAAACGAACTTCCTTTTGTAAAGCATCAAAAAGAATTCCTCCAGATGCATACTCAAGCATGAGATAAATTGTTTGCTCATTTTCAAAGAATGCATACATGCGTAAAATATTGGGATGACCAAATTCTAACTGGACTTCGACCTCCCGACGAACTTGATGCATAATGTTATTTTTTTGAAGTTCTTTTTTTGACAGATATTTAAGTGCAACCGGATATTTGGACACTTTTTCCCTTGCTAAATAAACCACTCCAAATTTTCCGTGACCAAGATGACACCCAATTTGGAATGCATCCAACGATAATATCCTCTTTTCATTCTTCTCGCCGTCTTCATTGTTTTCGGCAAGCTGGTTTTGTACCACTTCAACCAATCTCTGAGAATTCAACTGACTGTTATTGCTTGTTGGTTTTGTTAATGGTTTGACATTTAATACATTTGGATCTTTTGTAGTGTCCGAACCTGATTGATTATTATTATTGATACGTAAAGGAATTTTAGATCTTATTAAAGGTTTCGAAGATTTTATAGGATTTTCTTTTCCTTGGTTAATCTGAGCGCGATTATTCATGCTTTTACTTTTTAAGAAAATTAACATATGAAATGAAGAACAACTAAAGTCATGAAAATTGATGACCTTGCGGTGACTTGGAAGATTTTAGTGACATTATAGGGGACAACGAAAAACAGGTAGGCAATTCGCTTTAAATGTCATTTTTGCGCTATTCAATTATTGATCATTTTCACATATTGTTGACTTAAGTTATTGAAGCTTTTCTCTAAAGAACATTTATTTAAAAATTTTCAATGGTGTTTTACATAATCATTATTAAAAAGTATCCTTAATGAAAAAATGCTTTTTTAGAATTTTTAGTTACAGCTTTTAAAAAAACACAATATTTTCTCCTAAACGGATCTCGATTTTGATCATAGCATAGTCCAAAGCATGAGAGATGAGACATCTTTAAGCAAGTCGATCCAAGTTTTTGATATGCCTAAGACTTATATTGACTAAAACATATCTATTTATTTAATTTTAATTAAATTTAAGCATAGTCCACCTACAAAATCGAACAAAAATCATTGAACAATGTGTTCCTTTTAAAAGTGTAAAATATATAATTAGGTAATAGACTGATTTTAAATTTGTAAAATTATTAATTTTTATTTTCATAAAATAAATTTCTTGATAATATTATACAAATGTGAAAAGTACTATAAAAAAAAGTCAAAACTGAAGGAAGTAACGATTTTGTAAGAAATATATATTAGGTATTTATTTAATTTATTAAACTTCAGTTGACCTTCCAAATTCACTATTTGAGAACGTCATTAAACTTTCGTCCTTATTTTGATGTGATGTATCATATGTTGACTGCTTCCTGTCTTTTAATGTTTTACTGCTTTTTGCTCGACTCGAAGAAAAATATGTCAGTGACGTTCCACTGTCTAAAGAGCAAATTGAAGCTCGACGGTGGTCACTTTCGTTGGAAACTTGAGATGGAAGGGAAAAATGAAAAAAAAAAGGTAATTAAGATGCCATTGATAACTTATATTTAGATATTCCAAACATACATTGGCCGTTGATTTCAACAAGAGAATTACTATGCTTTCGTTCCTGTGTTGTCAGCGATTGATCAGAAGCATCTGAATCAAGTTTTCGTTGTATGGAATCGTATCCACCCCTACGACAATCTAATTTGCTACTTTTGGAACATCTTGATACTGTTTTCTTTTCAAATTCATGTTCAATTCTTATTTGTTCCATCTCATCCATTTCTGCAATGCTTTCTTCTAAATCTTGAGCAAATTTGAATCTATCGTGTTCATTTCGGGCATTAAATGTTATTAACACTTTGTTGTCCACTTTGTGAGATAACTGTAAGCAATGTTGATAATCTATTGTAAAAAGGTTTAGAGAATGGAATAAGCATATTAGGAAAAATGTAGCATAAGGAAATATCTTTCATTCCACTTACTTGGCGTTTTCAACAAGGTAACAGTCAATCCTGGAAGTGAAAAACATTCTCGAAAAGTATAAGTGACAGAAGTTTTTTTCTTATTGAATATTTTTGTAACTACAAGAATATCATTAAATAGAAAGACTTCTCGTTGATGCACTCCAGTTCTTTCTTTTCTTTTGATATCAGGAATTTCATAGAGCCGACAATAACAAACTAATCTACGATATGGAAGGGCTAAACTTGGCTTCTTTCCAATTATCGTTGCCTGAACTTTCAAAACTTGCGACACATGGTCAGCGGCAGGTTTAAATTCATTTGCACGAATACGATCATAAATTGATACCAAAATTTGCCTGTCAATATTCCTGCAGTCATCTACACCTCGAAGATTCCTCACAAAGTCTTCACAACTCATTCTTCGCTCTGGTTTTAGAGTTTTGGTATGGAGATCAGTATTTAACATAATAATTGCGAAAGATATAATAAACACCTAAAACAAAAGTACATATTAATTAGGTACTTAGAGTATAAAATTATTCAGGGCTTAAAGTTATTTTGTGTTTTCTTTGTCTTCAATTTCTCTTTTTAATCTAAGCATAATAAAAATGCTTTCGATAATTAAGTAGGTAATCCGTGTATGTATCAAATTATTAGTGATCATTCATTTTCTTGTGTTCATTATAAGAAAAATTGTCTTTATCGCGTGTATGTAATTTTCCAAAGGGCACAACACTAACTAAATGTTTTAAAATTGCAACACCTAAATTACGATTAAATATAAAAATTGATCCGATCAATTTTTGAAGGATAAATCATTGCCAAATTTAATTAATAAATTGACAATATGTAGATCTTCCAAATATTTTATTCCTATAGAAGTTCATGCTCATGTCTTGTGGTACAACTGTGCCACTCGGTTAGAACTTGTTTATTTTTTAACAACTTACAGTTTCCACTGATTTAAATTTAGAAACGACTTCTGGGTTGCATTTGGCATAACGTTGACTAAAAATTTGCATTAAACGTTCAATTTTCTGCGCTTCACCTGGTATCCTGAAATAACTTTGAAATTTACGTAACGCTACATCTATAGCTGTTCCTGATAAATCAATTTCTTCACAGAAACATTCAAGCACAGACATATTAAATTGATTTTGAATCATTCCCAAATATTCTCCAATCATCTGCCTTGAGAGACCTTTTCGCGAAGTCAAAAATTTAGCAACATTAAGAGGCGTCTTTTCGAGAAATCCTAAAAGTATACGATTAGTTAGGACACCATATTTTTTATTCATATAAATAGATAAATTGTCATACCGTTTCGTACTAAATATTCTATTCCTCTCTCAGGTTTTTTATTGAATAAGTTAAGTCCAATACGGTATTTTCGTTTCCTCATTATCTCTGATATATGATAATTATCTTTTGCAATTGTTTTTTTTGATATTGATGACAATAACTGATTTGATTGCTCGTTATCTATATCACCTTTACATTTATACATAGGTGAAATACAGCGGTCAGAAAAGTTATCAGAAACATCAATTTTATCAATTGAAGCACTTTTATCACTTCCTGAAGATTGAACCGATTGTAAACTTCCATGATTTTCTTGAAAAAAACTTCAAATTTAAAGAAAATATCAAATGTGACAACAGAATTATGTAAATACCTAATCTTGAAAGCTCTTCATTATATTTCTGATTTGATGAAGATCCTGTTGTCGACGATATGCTGAATGATCGCTTAGAAATTTCAGGCGGAGTAAGTTTTTCATCTATTGACGTGCTTAATCTTGAGTTCGATTGTTGATATTGTGGACTATTTTTCATTTTTGGGCGCATATAAATCTGTGAAGCAGTATAGTGGGTAACGATCGGTTGATTTTGACCATCAAATTCCATGTTTTTCATTAAATTAGGTCTATCAACATTCGAAATTGCACTAGAAGAGTTTTCGTGATACTGAAGTTTCTGTGGTGACACATTATAAGTAAAAGGTTCATGCACAGCACCAATATAAGGTTGATGATGAGTTAACGCATCTCTATTCTGAATGCTTACAGAACTTGGTTCAACGGAATAATTTTGAAAATTACATGATGACGTTGAAACATTTTGCAAAGAATCCATTCCAATGTTGTGAGATTGTGAATGGTCATCTTGCATTTCCATTGATGTACTTTGGACTTGTTGGTTATAGTTTGATTTTGACAGCTTCATATCATAATTCATACTTGCACGTATAGAATCAAATTTCTTGTTCAACATATAACGACGGAGTGCTCGTTGAATGATCTGAAATGAAAATAATTCTTCATATAGGTATAATATTTAAAAAACAAATAAAATTAATCTTACCAATGCAGCTTTTTGAGCACGTCTTCTTCCACCATATTTTCGCTCCAAAAGTTCTATTTGTTTATCGATTAGGTCTTGTGACAATTCATAGCAATTATTTCTGCCTCGTTTTGAAAGTTCAGTATTTGATCCATATTTAATAAGTTTAGTATTATTAACATAATTGTTATAGTGGTTTGGTGCAACTGATAACGGAGCATTTGACACGTACATTTGATGTTGAAAATTAGAAGGAGAGTAAGCTGACTGATCGTAATCATGATTTTGTTTCGTCTCGTGAAATTTTTCTTTTTGATAACTGGTGGAATAAGGAAAATACGAAGAATAGCTTCCTGATCCATATGAATCTAAATTTCGAGGAAAGCTGAAATATAAAAAGATTAAATGAGTAAATTTTATGTTAATTCAATAAAATGATGTAACCAAATTATTATAAAAAATAACTAATATCGTCAGCTGATCATTTGAGAAGTTTTACCAAAAATATTACCTCATTGTAGTGACATGGTGGGTTACATGCTTGTTTGTCTCCCTAAAACGTCTTGAATAATTCATAACTGTCACATGACGAGATTGAGAACTGACAATTTTCCTAATTATTGGTTTACTACACTCATTACCATTGGCATCTAAGTAAATTACTGATGGAGACAAACTTGAAGTTGACATACTCTCTTTTGAAGACATTTTTCTTGTATTTTTTAAATTTAATATTCGTTTAATTTATAAGTATTATCATATGAGAGTAAAATGAGCTTAGTTAGGTAATCACATTCTGATTTCTTAATAATTTTAACAAAAAAAGTTTTTATATTGAATAATAAAATGTATCTTAGCGTCCACATTTACAAATAGCTTTTGCTTTAAGCACTTCACCATTTGGGTTTTCATCACCATGTGTGGGAGTCAGTTAAAACTCAACAATTCTTACGTATTCTACAGTATATTTTGAAACTCTTATGTTTCATCAGTATTGTATTGTGTGAATTCTTATGTTAAAATTAATTGTATATTTATTATAGTCAACAGCGTTTTATCATGTTCCACAGTTTTGTCACTATGCTGTTATGAATTAATGTGTGATAATGAATGAAATTAAAATAAATATCATAACTATAATATTTTACTGAAAAATATTTATTTACTACTATTAGTAAGCAAATTTAGCATCTTTCAGATATCGTCATCACTTAACAAATTTTACACAAATATATCCCATCAATTACATCATACAATCAACAAAGCTTAATATGCACTAATAGTGTGACTCATGAAAAAGATCTTTTAGCTTCATTAAAGCTCAATACTTTTGCTATTAACTCCTGTTTTTTGTTTTGAAAAACTAATACATATACTATTTGCAATATGACCTACTAAAAACTTGTTATAATACAGTGCTATTATTTACACTATAAACATTTTTATTTAAATTAAATAATTTTTTATTAATAAGTATAAGGAACTTCACAAAACCTCTTTTTTTACTTATGCAAACAAAATATTACGAATAATTTAATTGAGAATGAAACATTTTTATGAAAATTAATAAATGAATAGCGATCAGATGAAAACGATCCGCAGTCCAACACTTTTAACAAAAAAAACATTTCTTCATAATTTCGAAAACAAAAAATAAATGTAGTTTTTTTTTGTTGTTTGCATTATACATACTAAGTTTTTATTCTATTGAGTGTGTGAATACAAGCTAAGCTTAAGGGGAATCCCATTCATATTATTCAAAGAAGATGATTTTTGGGCAGCTTTTGAAAAACATATGGAAGTACACAAGACTTTGATTGATAATATTTCTAAATTTCTAAATTATTTTAATTTTTATAATAAGGATTAAATTGATCTCAAAGTGCACTTCAAAAAGAGTCGAGATAACACTTTGACGACTAAAAATTGGGCGGCTGCGAAAAAAAAGCTCGACCTTGTGAAAGAAGAAATTAATTTTAAAGAGAATTCGCATTAAAAATGATTATATTAAGTCTTTGACTGAAAATGTGTCTAGTTGGGGGGTTGAAATGTCTTTATATGAATGTATTTTCATTTATGAATACCAAAAATTTAATCAGAATTGAATTTCAATCCATTTATAATCCTGGTCAGTATTGGTTTAAAATTGGATTACGTGAAATTTAAAAAAAAAATCAATTTTATAAAAGTGCTCAAAAAATGTTTAAATTTTAGGCCATTTCATATAATTTTTTCAGTGACTTAAGAAAAGCTTTGACTTTCTTATGGGCTAATAAGAGCCTTTCAAGAAATAAACTTAAAAACTTAAGACTTAAGAAAGCACATAGCCAAACACTCTTTTTTTTACGTAAATGATTTTTGCGCAAAATATGCCTATTTCGGTATATATTTTTAATTAACATATCCTAAATACTTATTTTAAATCAATTCTTAGCTTTGTTCTTAAATAAATTTAAGAAAAAAACCTCCCGCTTAGAAATATATTTTGATATTCATATGTAAGTAGATAGATCTTGTTATTCAATAAATAGATAGAATATGCCTTCTTATGAAAAGGATTTTTTTTGTTGTGACTAGTTAACAGCTAACGTTAAAATATTTAAGTTTCAATTATAATTATAATTTACTCACCTGTTACTAAAACTCCAGCCTTTTCTTAACTCCAGCATATCTATTTCCAATTTCAGTTGCGAAATTTCGATTAGTAAACTATTGTTAAGTTGTGTAAGTTTGTTGTTGTGCTCTCGGAGTAATTTGTTTTCTTGCAGAATATTATAAAAACTATTTACTTCCTCATTTTGATTACCCATAGATGTATGAATGGGATTAACATGAAACAAATTTCCGCGCATCAAATTTTTTCCTTGCATATTTATATAAGGATGAGACATTTTTGAATCATTTTTGGTATTCTCATTCATTAATGTACACTTTTTATGATTTTGCTCATAATTAGTCAATAACTAGACTCTTTCGGGTAAGAAATGAATAAATCGACTTAAGCAGGACTTGATTATCACTGTTTTTCGAAATTAAATCGTACTGAATATGTAAAAAAAATGAAAACATATTTTACATTTCGAAGTCTTTAAATTAAACGAAAATATTTTTAATACGGGGTGTACAAATATCACATAAGAATTGATTCAAGGGTTATCACATTGACATCAGGCCTGAGATCATACACGACACAAAATGACATACTGGTGTTTTTATAAAATATCTACATGCATCATAAATGATTTTCCTTCGGTTGTTTCAGATAGTTTCACTTCTTACTTCCTCAACACAAACGTTTTGAACGTTAAGAACGCTATAAATGAAACTAAAAGCGGTACAAACAGTGCGATATTTATATTTTCAATCTCTATAGGTTTTTATAAGATGAGAGTGAACTGAGCTAAGCCATTGGAAGATAACTTACAGCCTACAACCGCAAGAAATTAGGAAATTAGTCTTTTGTCTACAAGATCATTAATATTTACATGGCTCCTAGACATACCTTAGGGCATTGAATTGTGCTTTCCAAAAGGCCAATTCTTGTCTTGAAAAATGCACACTCCGATACTCCAAACTGGAGCTCATTGTTAAGCTAAAGTTTAAATACTAAAAATCAGATTCGAATTAGCCTTTAGGTATTTTGAGCCAAAGGACTTATTTAATGTTATTTTTATAATATAATAGCCGCTTATATTAATGTTATAAAGTTGAATGAAGCCTAAATAAAACCATGACTATTGTATCATTAAGACTGTACGTTTTCTCAAGCTTAGTAACTGATTTTTTTAGAGCAGAAGAAAGGAAACTATCATTTTCAACAGCTTGTTTAATTTTTTTAATTTAGTTCTTAATTGTTTTATACTTATAAAGTGAACTAAATAAATAAAATCCACTGTTGCAATGAAAAAAAATCATCTAAATGTAGTAGGGATCAATTTATCGCTTCTAATAAACATTTCATTCTCTCTAATATTTCAATGCACTGAAAGAAAAAGCTTGTGAAATAAAACAAGATAAGTTTATTTCTTATTACATTTTAATTCAATTTTTTTTACATTTCATGCTAAATATATTCATGTATAAGTTGCCATCATAATTATATATTTATGATATATATTTTACCCTTACTTTGCTTTCGGAAAAATAAATGATTTACCCAACGAATAAAGCAAGAACTAAAGATGCATTTTTTAATGTTCTTAAGTTCAATGATTTTTGTTAAAAATTATTATGCTTATGTCTATAGTTAAATGAAAGCCTTTAAAGGTTTACAAATTTGATTAAATTTAATAAATATACGCAAGTAAAAAACGACTTGTTTATATTATGTATTAGGAATGGTCCCACATAACTATATGTATATAAATAAAATTAAAATAATATTTTTCTATCTATGAAACTTTTCGCTGCGCATACAATTTAAATCTCTTTCTTGGTTAATAAAAGGAAAAAATTGTCCATAAAAAATGAAATTTCAAGTAGGCATTTGTTACTTCTTTTTCACACAACAATTGTATGGATATGGATTTAGGTATATATTTCATTTTTTATTTTGCATAATAACATAAGCATGTGATGATAACCAATTGGAATTTCAGAAAAGAAACAATAATTAAAAGCTAAATATCAGAATGAAATTAGTTTATAATTTGTTGTATAATCAACTCAGGAGGTAAATTTACGTAAGAATGTCGTAACTCTAATAAATGTTTAATATTTTCCTGATTATCGAATGTGCATTTTTAATTTTTGATAATAAGTATTTTATAAAAACTCATGTAAATCACAGCTTTATCTGTCAGTAATTCACCAACTAAGACAAAACAAATCGAAAAAAATTGGAAATAGCATTTTTACAGGAATGTTTATGGCAATATTAATAAAAACGAAAGTTGTAGATTACATTTTTAAATGGTTTATCCTTAAATTTTACACAAAATATATACTTTAATCTAAATAATGAATGAAGGAGCTCTATTATAATTATAAATATTAAATTAAATCAGAATGATGTTCTCTGATGGTGTCATTCGAATTCTAATAATTTTAGCCTTTATAATTTTTCAAGTACATCTTAATTTAATTTAAAATTTCCACATAATTTTCTGGAATTAAGCCAGATTTACCATTAAGTGTTCCCACAAGCCATCCTGGTTCATTCGATCGTGAAACTGAAAGAAAAGTGAAATTGATTACTTTTTTGATCGTAAAGTAATGGCTCATATGTTAATAAATACCGTTTATAATTATTTGATTAGGTTCGAACGACAGCTCTCCCTCATTTTCTGCAAGGCAAGCATAAAGTGTGCGAACACGCCTGTGAAGAAAAGAATTAAAGAATTATTCGATCTAGCGCTTAAAAATATTAACGTACCAATTCTGTTTGATGGTATAAGGTTTCGCTTTCACAATTTCATCTTTGGCTTTATGCTCACGTTGCTGTTTCTTCGGTATGAAACCTGAAACAATACTGCTGTTTTTGTGACTAGACATGGCATCATAAGTAGCTGATTGGTGTTTAGAAACCGGTTGATAATCATTCCAGACATTCAATTGTTTAGTACTTCCGGTATTTGACTTGTTTAGTTCTTTGGAACTACTATAAGTTTGAAATTGTGAATGTTGAGAGGCAAAATTCAAATCTTTGCTCGATGATGAACATAGCGATTCATCTGATGAGTGAATTCGATCAAAAAGCTTCGATAAGTTTGTATCAGAAGATGTTAAAATATTGTAAGAAGGCTGGTTACTTTGGGCTGACAATTGTTTCACCGTATCATATGGGTTTTCCGAAGCTAAAGCGCTACCGCTTTTGTTCAATGTACCACTTGGTGTATTTTCTCTTAAAAACTTTTTGCCACTGTTGTAGAATTGTTGCTTTTGGACGTAAATTGCATTTTGGTAACTATTAATATTGTTATTAGCTGTATTTGGGGGTGAAGCAGATTTCATGTATCTAGTATTAAGTTCACGTGATGACAAGGAAGATGGCTGATCTTTTACGATAGGTGAAAGTGACTTATGATTAATGTTTGTGCTTGATTTTGTTTCATAAATCGGGTAAGACGCTGGTGTCAACTGTTGGTGTTTGGAACTGGGTTGGAATAAACTATTATGAATAGAAATCTGACTGATATTAGATGAACCCGACTTTGATGAAGAATGATAAGAGGTCATGCCGTTTGGAATGTTTTGTAAACTACTGGACATTACTGGATCGGTGTAGTTTGATTTGGCCACCACCTGTACAAATGTTTTTACACAAATTTGTAAAAAGAAACATAAAATCACGTTAAAAAACAATATCATTACACAAACAGAGTTTACGTTGACTTGAATTTCTAAAAGGTTTCAATTTCAATTTATATCGAAACATAGCTTTGACCATAGAACCAACTCATTTTTGCTACTTGCTTGTTTTTTTTTCGAAGAAAAAGTGTGAAACTTAAATTATAGTATTTAGGTATTTGTTGTCCCTTAATACATGCTGCAACTTTGCCACCTACATTTTATTTCAGTAGGGTGACGACAGTGGCAAAGTTGCAGTATGTATTAAGGAACAACTTGAGCAACAAAATGAGTTATTTCTATGGTTTTGTCTACACAATATGAGTATTAATTGATTCTAAACAGGATTTTTATGCCACTTTTTTGTTCCATAATAGAGAAAAGAAACAGATTTGTGTTTTCTGAAATAATGATAAAATTTATAAAAAAAATTGTAAGTACCTTTTTCACTATTTCTTATAACTTTTCGTTTTCGGAATATTAAAGAGGAATAGACAAAGATACAAAATCTCAAAAATGGAACAAAAATGGAACACGGTCAGTAGCCCAAATCCGTTTTTTGTGACGAAAAACAAATGTAACAAAAGCATGAAAGGGGTTGGTTGTCGTCAATAGCTTTAAGCAAGTTACTTTTTAATTAGTATAAAATTTTTGCTGTGAGCTTAAAATAATAACATAAAGAAGTCGCAATACAGAAAGAAAAAGGTAAATTTAAATATCTATAAATAAGAAAAAAAAAAGAGCACTAACTCTAATTGGTTGTGGATGGGGAGAAATTCTGTGGTCAACTCCAGGTATGCAAGATTCTCGAAAATGATAATTCGAAGGTCTTTGAAATGGTGGATTTAACGACGATTGCCGCGATCTAAAATGGTATTAAGAAAAAAATAATTTAAATAACATTCAAATATCAAGTTGAAAAAACCTACACATAATCTGATGATATTCCTGGTAGATTCTTGAATATTAATTCATAATTTTCTATTAAGATTTCAATGACCAAATTATTAAATTTTATCTCAAGAACTGCAGCAAGACTATCCTCGTTGGCTTTCAACAATGTCGGGCCTGAGAAAAAAAAGGGACTTAAAATTTAATCGATAAGAACAAGAATCAAATATACCAAATATAACTCCAAGATTAAAAATTGACATTTTGTTCTTGTGACTCTTTGCTGTAACATTTTTCAAATGATTCGTGATAAGATCCAACATTTCAAGATGATTTTTTGGAAGTCGATGAACCAAAGCGTGTATATCACTTATTCTTTGCAAGTGTTGCTCCTGCTTTGCAGCAGCCAAAAATCCATTAAAATATCGATAGGTCATGAGAGGTTCTTTCAATTTCCTAAGATACTGTTTGAGTGCACTTGCGATTGTTTTACTTTCAAGAATATCTGAGTGTTGTTCGTCAGTAAAAATATGCAGTCGCTCTGTTTCAGTCTTTTTAGAGTCAAGTCCCATAGAAAGCAATTTATTGATTTTTGTTCCCACTCCACTCACTCGGTAAAGACCTTCTTCTTCGAGTCCACGATCCTCTAAGCACTCAATACATTTCTTTACAAACGTAAAACCAATATCATTTAGAACATACTCCTCATCTTGAGCATTAGCGTTCTTTCCTGGTGTCAAGTAAACCGGCTCTTTACCGTCCATAGCATCAAGCCATGATTTTCGGTCCTTTTCAGAAAGTGCTTGAAATGTATAAACAACGTTAGGCTTCTGCTCAAAAGTCAGATCGAAGCAGAATCGCTTCTCAAAATCTGAGATACAGCGCGTACAACTGGAAAGTGTAAACTTCTCTGGTGCAGTTTGCTGTAAAAATGGTTCAAATATATTTGATATGAATATTTAGCTAAAGTTTTGTACTTACAATCCTTCCAGGTATTTGCTGATTGTACTGAAGCATTGTGAATTGTTTGTTTTCCTTCTTGTATGTGCAATAATTCTTCTGCCATGTTGCAGTAAAGGCTTCTAAATAATTAACAAAAAAATTGAATCCTATGTTTTTATATGTATCTATATAAAATATTTTATGTTTAAACTTTAAAGTGTTATATTCCTCGAAAGAGATATTGAATTCTATTCCAATCTATGTCAATCGGCATTCATATTATTCTTTTTGCTGCATAATTGTTTTCCTTTAGATAATTTGAGGTTTAAAAAATAATATGTTTGTAATTAAAATATCCCACTCACTGGATACTTTTGTATTTATGCTTTAAATATTAATATTTAGAATGATAATGTAAAATGTCTTTTGCTCTCAAATATATATGATTATAACATCAAAACTTTTGAATCAAAACTCTCATTATTACGGTAAGTCATTTGTTATTCTGCTTTTACATCACGTTAGTATTATAAAACTTTTTTCAATAGTTGACCCACATCAAATCATTAATTCTAAAATGATGTCAATTTTAGACGAAATATCAAAATCCTCAAATACATTTTTAATCCCTTGCAGTATAATGTTAGATAATACAAGAGTCTAGCTGGGAACTTTAATAAATATTAGAAAAAAAAATCAATTCTTTAATACGCACTTTTCTCTGACAAATAAAGATAGCCTTGCAGTGTATAATCTGATTCCGGTTTTAGTTGAAAATTCATATATTTGGATTTTAATTCCTGAGCAATTTCTTGAAACTCTGTAAAACCTTCACGAGTCTGAAATGTGAAAATCGAATTTCATTAAAATATTACATTAATGTTATAGAGTCGAATGTATATACACACTTTTTGCACTTTAAGTTGTAAATCTGTCATATATTCTTTTGCGTCTTCAGCAACTTCGTGTCCAAGATGATAAAACACAAGCCATCCTGACATAAAACCAAGCAATATTTCAACAAACTCAAATTTTATTCTCTCTTGAACGTCCTGTATTTTTAGCACATAATTTAATGACTCATGCATATAGTCACGCTTCAGCATTCCTAAGGCTGCATCGGCCTAAATAATGAGCAAAAAAATAAAAGTCAACAAAGTTATTTGAGATGAGATCTACGAGCAGTATAAAATAGTAGAGACACCATCTTTAATTTTAGCTTATCTATATTGCTGTTTGGTTTTTTCTAACAAACTAGTCGAAATTTAAAAACCCATTGGAAATACTTTAAGCTTAAGTTGCTTTTATACACCAAGTATTTCAGTACTGATTATATTAATTCTGATGGAAACTGTGGTAAAACTTTTTAAATTGAAAACTTAAAGTTGATTTAAAAATATTTTTGTATATTCCTACAAAAAAGGATTTTGGTAACTACTTATGGACTAAAAGGTTTAATATTTCAACAATTAATATTACCTCACTTGCTAATTCATAATATTGAAACTTTTTCAAAAATTTAAAACGAAAAGACAATTTTTTTGTGAAGTTTGTTAAAAACAGCACATGCGCAATATATATAAAAGAACAGTGTAAGGAACTAACAATGAATTAGATAAAACATTGCATATTTAGTATGATTCCAAATTAAATCAGAAGTAAAATAAATACTGAATTGATTAAAATTTAGGACAATTGCTTCGAATTAAATGAAATTATTTCTAAAGGACGATACCTCAACAAAAACTGTTTCTGGTTTTTTTGACGACAAGTTAAGAATTTTTTCTTGCGCTTGGCAAAATTTCGCAGTGCGTTTGTCATGTTGCTTTTTCTTCTCCTTGACGCCACCAATTGCATCTTTCCTAAATCCCTCCAAAGGGACAACAATCTGGTCATGTGCTCGATCAAGCTAATAAGAAAAACAAAACAATTAGTTTAAGTATTTGCAAGTAAATTGTTAAGATTAAAGTCATGTAATAACCATCTAATCATATTATTTTTAAGTTGGATAAATGTAAATATTTATAAACACCAGCATATGAGAATCTCAAACTTCAATCTAAAATATATTGCATTTAATCAAAAATATCGATTTGAATTTTTAGTTTAATTTAATATTTTTTTGATATTTTTAAAGTTGAAATCTGAGAGAGCTGTGTGAATAATTTTAAATAACAACAATCATTTTCAAAGTTCTTTGGATAAATACCTAAATGTATATTATTCAATCATTATTATTACCATATTGTCTCTTTCATCTTCTATGGCTGAAATAAGTTTGCTAAACTGTTTTAAACTGTCTGCTATCACCTGCTCATCATCAGTTTGTGTTGATCCAATGCATTCAAAGTTAAATTCATTAAGACTCTTTGCTAATGTTCTTTGGCATCGAGACAAATCTAAAAATGGGAGAATACATTTTTTGTCCAGGTAAATATTATTATTTTATTATTCATTAAAAGTTAGATGTAAATTAATCTAAATATTCTCTACATATGTACATTGTAAAGTTAATTTTGTAAAAATTGCAAATAACTGAATATTTAACTAAGTGGGAAGTTGTGTTTACCCAAATAGAAAGAAGAAGAAATATTAAAAGAATTTAAATGTAAATTAAATCTAGGTCTACATATTTCTGGATATTAGATATATTATCAAAAATTTAAAGAAATTTAATCTTTTTATCTATACTTAGTCAGTTTTTCCAAATAATCTTTTTTTGATATCCATTCAAAAATACGGTTTAAAATTTTAATTTTTGAGATAATTTATCTTTAAATAACGCTACCTAGGTTTGTAGAAATTCAACTAAACACTTAAAGCAATTCCAAACCAAATATAAAAAAGACAAACCATATTCCAAAACCGGCCTTCAATCGAAAATCAAGTTCTGGACTTTCGATGCAAGCTTCTTTTTTCTAAAATGATGTCATTTTCAAACAATAAATGGAAAGGCTCGGTTTATTAGAACGGTTAATAGTTTAACTTTTAAAGAATATTTTGAAAAAAATATATCTCAAAAAAATATTATGCACTTTTGATAAGATAGAGCAACAAAAATACATGCAAACACACATACACTGATAATGAATGAACTTGAAAATGAACAATGTTTCGATTTTGCTTCAGTTTCACTTCAAACACAATAACAAAAAAATACCATCACATGATGAATAATAGTCTAAACAGTAACCCACCTAGGTAGTTTGATAGATGTATGAATGATATTGAAAACTTACTTTTTGCTGCATATAGTAAATCTTTAATTTCCTTTATTATTCGTTTTATTTGTTGAGAAGTTTTTTCAAGCTCTTTCTCGTGCCGATTAAGATTTTCTCGAAATTCTGGACTGTCAAGTAGGCAGTCTGCAAACTCCAAAGGAGCTAATCCTGCTCCACTAATCACCATTTTCGAATTCCTTCACTTATTAAAAATTTTATTCATCAAAAATATATGCTCATTTCAAGCGATAATTATGCTGAGTTTGTCTTTTCAATTATTTTTTCAATGCAAACTGAATCATTTTTTGTCAATTTAATTTTGCAATGCTCCAGTCCAGCTGAAACTTTATTTTAGATACTATTCACTTCAATCATATCCTACTTTCGAATATCTCTCCACTGACAATATAAAAAGAATCGATTTCACACTTATGTCAATATCTATGGTATTGTAATTAACGAATATTACAAATTGGGAATGCAATTTGGTGAAATTTCTAATCCTGGTTTCAAAAAAAACCACAACTCAAAAATTTTAGATGATGTTAGAACAAGTTATTTGAAAATTATAACTCATAAGCGCGTCTTAGTGCTTATTATAACAGATTCAAAACAAAAAAATATCTGCCCGTAAACGAGCGATTTAATTTCCATAAATTCATATTAAATTGTATATATACAGAAACATTATATATAATATAACATAATAATGTAATAACAAATATATTAATCTGCACATATATTTTATTATATATTTATATAGACCTATATACCTATATTAAATAACACTAATTTAAGTTTTTATATATTGATGGAAAATTTGAATCTATTTGATTTGTTGTGGAACTTCTCATAAATAATGTTAGAATTATTACGTAGCCTGATTAGCTTACTATTAACTAAAAGCACTTGATTTTATTGAGTGAAAAAAAGAGCATGACTAATTTCAAAATATAAAAAACCAGTAAAAGAACATTTTTTAGTTTCGGGAGCATAAAAATTATTTTATTATAAAATATTTACAGTATTGTATTTTACATCGAATGATGCAACACGGACGGCAGTGACTAAAGGATTGAAAGCGGACGGCAGTGACTAAAGGATGGAAAGAGGACGACAGTGACTAGTCAGCACAACCCAATTTCCTTTGAAATTGGAAAGTGTTGTCATTGTCTCCCGATTTCTAAACAATCGGGTGAGGGATTTTCTCTAAGACCTGATGATGATTATGAGTTTTATATCTTATTGCATTTCAATACTCTCGTTAACCTGAGCAGTACATTTGCTTAGGGGATTTTATATGAATTCCGTGTGTACGATTCAACGATAAGTTTTCCCGAGATTTACTTTCAACTACTATATTTTAACTACAAGTTGCTGCTGTCGACCTTGCATACTCTCCCCAATGAATCATTCAGATAGCCGTTTTCAAAGGGAATAAATTGCTGAAGAAGACTTTTTTGCTAATTTATTATATTGGGTATTAATTATCTATTTATATACCTACTAATAATAATAATTCAGAACAAAAATTTATAGAGAATGTTTTTCATTGTTATAGAGAAACATGTTTCATTGTTGATGTTGTCCATAAAACCATGCATAAATTATTATTATAATTTTACTAATCTTCATAATGAATAATATTAGGAAAAAAACTTACATGAAGCATAGAAATTTTGTAATTTGATACTTGACAGAAACACCTGTTAGTTTTTTATCTTGACATGTTTTAGTCGATTATTTTAATAAGCTTTATGGAATCTTACAAGAGATCGCTTTTGATCCTGAAGCGATATCTTGTACAGTTTTCCAATCGTGGAAAAAAATTGCAATAATGAAGAAAAATACCTAATTGCGAGAGTTTTTGTAAGATAGATTGAAATTAGTAATCAAAGATGAAATAAAATTATTAATATTAAAAAATCCTCTGTGGATCAAATTCAACTAAAATTGCTACTTAAATTGCAACCTTCCGAATAATTAGAATTTTTTCTAAATACCTAGGTATTTAAATTAAAAACTAAACTTTTATTAGAATCGAACTGCAAGAAATAACAATGTTGACTAACTAAGCATGATAACAACTAGTACACCATAAACACAATAAAAATAAATGAGTAAAGTGTGAACTTTTTTATTAACAAAGGATCTATTTGTCACTTAATTCTATTTGCCAATTTTTATTTATTAAGAATGGATCTATACTTAGGATTGAAATAAAAATGTTAAAATAAAACAGAATGAATGCGCATGAATATATAGACACGTGTTTTCAATTGATATTTTCATGAATGGAATCAGAGGAGGGCACACTGTGCATAGCAGTTATTAGCCTTTTTCACAATTGAGTTAAATTCAAGATATATAATCTTAAAAGTGGCTTGAATTAATAAAAAAAACTCCTATGCGTTAACACAGTAATATGCAATTAAAATGGTAAGAAGCGACATTCAATGCATATTTTTTTATTCACCAACACAAAATTGTATGAAATTTGCGTGCATCATTAAAACTGATACAATTATATATAGGTACACTTATATGTATATATATATCTGTATATGTAATTCGTTCTTTAAGAAATAGTTATATTTTTATGAAGAGATGCTAGAATAAAACGGATTTAGTTAAAAACTAATCGAGAAAGAAAATTAGAAAATATTTCAAAAATCTTAATTTTTTTAACTGTCTCATAAACACAAAATTTACTTTACTGACAAATATGTTTCAACCTTATTTATTACATAAAGCTTTTTTGAAAGTCATACCTCTTATTTTAAAATAGTTTTACTACAAAAAATTTAGTTGCTTAAAAACAATAGAATTAAGTAATAAAGCTTTCCTTAAAATAAATATAGAGATTAGTTGTATTTATTTTTAAATTTAAAGTTTTCGACTCTAGAGTTATCAATTCACTGATGGAATCAGTAAAAAAAAATAGGAAAATCTTCTTCATGCCATAATAGAAAATTCTTATCGACAACGCTTGACGGTGATTGGTTTATTTTTAAAACGAATGTTTTCCTTCTTTTCATTTCGATGTGCGCACAAAACAAAACTCTCATTGGTGAATGAAAATAAACAGGAGAAGATCATGTATAGCAGTCATTTTATATTTCTTTCGACTTCCAATAGCGTCAGACGTATTTTAAAAATTGTAAAAGTCAGAATAAAGGTGGATGTAACTTAAAATTTAATTAACTAACTATAACTAAGTCGAGTTAAAAAAGAATCATATTTATTAAATCGATAAGTAGCTTCTTTGACAACACCAAAGTGTGTTTCATATTTTCCAAAAAAGTTATGGTTTAATGGAAAAAGTGATAAAATAATATTAAATATCTAAACTGAAAAAAACAAGGATACGCAAAAGAATTGTATCAAAATTTAGAGTGGTTCTAAGGATGAACAGTAATTTTGAATCAAAGATTGATTAATCTAAAACTTTTGCATTTTAATTCCTGTGTTTCGATAACAAGCCATAAATACTTACTTGCAAATTTGTGTAAACGTGAACTCAACCGACGGTGCATGTGTTAAGTTCTGATAAATCAGAATTAAGAATAAGGATATTAAAGCGCTCGCATTGGATTTCAAACAAGGCTGCATAGCCGCTAGCGGCAGTAGTTTGTTGCAGAACACTACATCGTTAGGACACAGTCCCGTTTCTCCTGATTCACAACCATTCAATATTTTTCCGGCAATTTTTAGTCGCCAATTAAATTTTTCTTCGAGCAATTGCAACCAGCAAAAATTTATGATTCATAATAGTATGACGGAAGATCTACGACCCAATTTAGTTGGAGGCCTTTTGGGTCTGCAACAACAAAGTCTGATAGAAGATCATAATCAAATTCAACACAGCAATTCTGAAAGCAAATTCATGTCGCTGCAGGATAGTCATAATCGATATGAAAATCGATTGCTAGGACTCTGTCAGGATGGGAGAAGTTCAACTCTATCTTCATTAGCAAATTCAAACTTGATAATACCCAATGGAAATGATTCAAATAAAACATTAATTCAACGAAAATGTAGTAGCACTCCTGAAGATTTTAGCTCTTTATATGGATCTGCAATCGAAAATACTCATCACCATACTCCAGCTCATACACCACCGAATAGATTAAGCGACCAAAATTCTATAACAGGTATGATGCATGTTTGTGATAAATATAAATAATTCATTCAAAATTGTTTAATCTTATTACCTATCATAAACACGTGCCTCGAGTTAAGCACTACGTATTTTATAAATATTTATATGTGTCGTATTTAAAAGAAGAAATGAACATTTCTCAATAGCATTCACTTTCCCTAAGACACAATCAATGGTTTTTAAATGCACAAATTTCTAGTATATTTAACAATGAATACCAACGGAAATAAGAAAATGCGCAAACATGACACTGTGTTGTTGAATTGTCAAAGGATTAATCCTCTTTTGATAATTTAAGCATTTGTACTTAACAAAAGATGAGATGTTCCTAAAACCCATTCACTCTTATTAAGCCAGCAATTTATCGTGATAATTTTACACCAACCATATGTCTCTTTTCGAGTATTGTGTACAGTGTTGATGTATAAGGGGGATTAAGGACACTTAAATTCCATGTAATTGTTCTGCAATTTGGTTGAAGAAATATGCAGCAGTCCTTTTTTTCTTATACATATGTATTTGAAATATTCACTTTGGTTTTCAGAATAATTTAGAAAAGTTAAAAAATAAATTATGTTCAGAACATCAAATTGACATGACTTAAGGCAAGCTAAAATTGTAATATGAACTGAGATACAGAAATTGTCGACAGAAATATGCGTTAAATCACATCTGTGACAATTTTCATTCATCTTTCATCGTCCCTAACAGAGTCACTACAAACCAATCGATTATGTATGAATACTTTGAATAACAATTGTTACATCAAGTACTTTTTTTTTATTACGGATTAATAGTTTTATCGTCATTAAAATCAAATAATTTGAGTGTGTTATTATTAAACATTAAATGAAAGAATGAAGGGTGGAGAATTGAAACCCTGAGATCAAATCTAATGAGAAGGAAACCAATATGAATAAGTAAAAAGGCATTGCAACATTTTTATTAATTAGGTACATTCTTGCTTGCTTTTTCTTAAATTTGGCTTTGTTTTTTTTTTTCAATTTAAAGATAGAAATTAAACCTTCACCAATGAAGAAAATATTAAGCTAAGATAAAAAATTTAATTCGGATTTAATTGATTTTCAAAGATATTTCATAAAAAAATTAACACTACTTTAGATGCATTTTCAATTTAAACAGGTAGGTTAATACCTACCTATTCGAAACGCATACAGAAAAAAATATCAAATTTTCGATTAAAATGTTATTCACATACCTACATTGAGATTTCCTTATGAAAATGACAAAAATTCAATCTGAATTGAGTTTCGTTTAAAATTAAATTTGCATGAGTTGAATATCTGATGACATTTGTTAACAAATTAGATATTTTCTTTATATGCACAGCCGAAATTAATTGATTTTTAAGAACACCATTGATAAAGTAAAACGAAAAGTCAGCTGAAAATTTTTATTCCAAGCTTTCGATGTGTCGGGAACTGATATTGGTTTATGATGTACATATTTGTTAAGTTAGATAAAAGAAAAATCTTTTCATTGTTTTTTTTTGCTAGATATCTATAAGTAATTTAATAAACGATATTAATAATTTCCCCTGTTGATTTTAAACGTAAAAACTTTTTAATTTAATTACATATTTATGATACTTTATAGAATTCTTGTACTTATGTATTACAGCTGAAGGTGCTTTCAAAAAATTAAAGCCAGAACCAAATAGTGGATTATCATCAGTTTCTGGAAGTGTGTCATCTCCTGGAAGCGGCATTTCAACTTTACCTCAACATGCTGGTCACACTCCCACTGCAGTTTCATGCCCAACACCTGCTCGAAGAAGACACAGAACAACATTTACTCAGGTGAATATATAGTTATTCCTATATTTAATTATATTCACATCAAACATAACACAAAACGAACAATGAATAAAACCACTGACAAATTTATCTGGTAAGATTGATAAACTTTTACTCTAAATTAATACTTATTAGGTATTTGTTATAGTCTCACATAAAGAAAAGTTGAAAATTCTTTATGTGAGACTTTCACAAAAATTAATTGAGCGATGGGCTCGAAAATCCCAAGTGTTAAAAAATTGAAAATTCTAATTATATATTTATTATTCTGCTGTTTATTTTTATAAATCTTATATTTAGATAAGATATGGGATCTATGTATACGATCAAAAATTTATAAAATCTGGAAGAAAATTTTGCGCTTACTTTCAATTAAGCTTCAAACTTGACCATAAACATTGATAAAAAATATGAACATAGTAATCTTTTTCCAAGTCGTTTAAAATATTATCAACGACAGAAGACATTTTCAACTATTTTTTTCCGAATCGATAAAAAAAGAATTAAACGATCAGCCGTTTGTTTTTCCAATATTAGATAGTTTGGATTCAATATTAATTATCCCTTATTCTGTAATTTTAAGATATNCACTACATGCACTCTTAGGATAACCAGATTAGATTCAGTTCAGGTCCTAAACATTAGAATTCCTAATCAAAAAACTCAGGCATTTTAGATCAATGATTTAAAATAATTAACTGATTTAGAATATTGCTGCTTCTTACATATCTATATAAATATAAATATAATTATAAATTAAATTTCTAACAATTTAAAAGACTTATTCTTTAATTATTCACAATTTTCGGTTATCTGTCTTCAAATTCCATTTCACCGTGATTACATTTAAAATAATTTTCCATACGAATCCAATCTTAGAAATTAATACAAAATTTTCAATGCTGTTTTTATGAATTAGGATTGAGATTTTTTTTGGATATTACAGCAGCATTCAAATTCATTAGATTTAATATAGTATAAATAACATAACACTTATATACATATAAAGCTTGTTGGTAGGAGCCTCAGCTCGGCAAACTGAAATAAGCGGGCTTAACCCCCGTCGGAAAAAAAATAAATAATAGATTTTTCCAATTTTCTTCTAAAAAGGTTTTCTTTTATAAGATACATAATTGATTCATTCTTTTTAATATCTTTTTTTTGCGAAAATAAAACTGTAAGCCTACATCCACCAGGCGATATACATGTATACTTAATTATTTACTTAAATATGTACTTTTTATCAAAAATATTGTAAGACAACTACAGTATAAGCTTGATCAGATGAACGCTTGTTACGACAATTTTCCCGACAGTACGATGCTTTCCTAAGTACGTTTTTTTGTTCGATATTACGATTTCTAAGATGGAACAATTTTTTTTTCGGTCCCTTCAATATCGCACTATCAAGCTTATACTGTACTTTTAACATTCAACTACAATAATCACGCTTTTTAAGCCACTATTGATCAATACTTCATTTAGATTGAAATTTCATTCTTATGCAATCCAAATTAAAATTTTATTTCGATTGAATTTGGATGCTATTCATAAAGAATTGTAATCCCACCGATGATACGCTTTAATTCACAAACTTAGTGTTAACTTTCTTTATGAACACTCTTTAGTACAGTATATGATCTCACAGTATGATATTAAAGGGATTGCGTACTATCGAAAAAATCATACTATCGAAAGAAAAAATTCGATTGAAGAGAGACTAAAAATTTCGTACTATCGAGCAATATCGTGCTATCGAGCGTTCGTGTTATCAGATTATACTGTATAAAAAGTCCGGACATTATAAATTGGTAGCAAGTCACTTTTCTAAGTAATGATGAATTTTTTTTTTTAATATCAAAAATTCATTGAATCTCAATCTGAATTAAATTTGTATTAAGTTTCAATCCCAACATATCTAGTATTGATCAAAAGTGCTTTAAAAAGTGACATTTTTGAATCCAATTCTTAAAAGCAATTGTCTTACAATAGTTTTGATATATTGTACAAAGATATATTATGATAAATGTTTGATTACAGATTTTTCTATATATGCTTTATTTTGTCTCTAGGAACAACTCGCTGAACTTGAGGCGGCTTTTGCTAAAAGTCATTATCCTGATATCTATTGTAGAGAAGAATTAGCAAGAACTACAAAACTAAATGAAGCACGGATACAAGTAAGATGTTACAAATTATTTAAAAGAAATAAAATTGTCGCTATTTTTTGTTGAAAACGTATTAGAAAAATCCCTACAGTCATACATACGTATGTATTTATGCATTGTAATCAGATGAATATACAAAGTTTCCTCATCATTCTCAAATTAGAAAAAGAGAAGATCGCCACATGGTTCGATCTAGAGCACATATTAAGGAAAATGTTAACAGTTGTTATCAGCTGAATTTTCAATATTTCCCTATTTCGTCCATCGCATTCAATTGAACATTAGTACATATGTATATATCTAGTGTTTCCTAGATTTTTCTTGAATTCTCAATTTAAGTCTATAATTTAATTTGGTGCGGGGGCATTTTCACAAGATAAAATATCAAGAGAAATTCCTTTTTAAAGTGCAGTTTCAAATTTTTACGCCCTCATACAGCGTCGAAATGAAGAGGGTTGATATTAAAGGGGATGGTTTGAATTGACAAAAAAATTTGACAGTAAAAATGTATTTATAAAATCCTTGATTTTCATGTTCTAATAGTTGAAATTTGTAAGGCTCATTGATAACTCATTACAGCTTACACCTGATGGAGTACAACTTCAGATTGATCGTGAAATTTCAAAACATTAAAAAAATGTTAAATCAATTTTCAATGGGTAGCGATATTGAGTATATACATAGATTAATTATGTAGACCTTAATTCTTGTATTCATAAAGAAAACTAATAGCGTGAATTCGTGCGAAAGTACAACAAAAACTATCAAGTTAATTTTTTAGATTGTATGTGATTTCTGAACACAAACAAATGACCTGAAACTCATAATTTGAAGAAAAAAAACGAAATGTGAATTCCATATTCCTATTTATTAAATTTTATTATTAAATTCAATAATTTATTTTCATGAATTTCCTTTTACAAATTATTTGAAGTTCATATAAATTAAATTTTATCTTCATTCACTACCATTGTATGCAATGACAGTTCTGTGTGGAGAATAATACAAAATAGAGGTAGCGAAAATAAAGAATGTCAAAAACCGATTCAAAACATATCATGAACCAAATGAATTAATATTTTAATTTTTTTATTAATCATATAAAGTGTTATTGGAGCAGTTTTCTTCTTTGAGTTTATTTTAATTATTAATTTTTATCTATTTATGGTTAAAACTTTAAAACATGTGACACAATAGTCATATCCTCTGTTGCGACATTCTATATTTTTGCTGTCTCTATTTTGTACTGTTCTCTCTGTATTTCATAAACAATTTTAGACATNTTGAATTTTGCTCTTTGAAGAATATATCTACAAATAACCAAAGACCGACGTTCATTTGGTTATATTTCAAACATTATTCTTCAACAAATAAAATAAGAAAATATTTCCGTCGGAATAAATTGACACCTATCATTCATTCTAAGGTAAAACTGATCACTTTCAACATGCATAGACATCAGTTTGTCGATAGTTTTAAGAATGCGATGATTCGGACAGTCGAAATTGAAAAAAAAAAGTTTCAATTGAAATTTATATTTGCTGCATAAAAGCTTCTTTGAAATAAAATTACTTGACTTTCTTCCCTTTTATATTTATTAAATTATTTATTTATTAACAATGTATTTGAAGTCCATTTCTAATTGTTTTCCCTCATTATCAGTTTGTTATTTGAAATTGAAATAGTTAATTAATAATCCGTAAAACTTTACTGGAAATACTTGGAAAGAAAACTTTTAGAAATCTCGTTTTTCATTACTCAGTAGTTATTAAAAATCTTCAATTTTTTTGTTCTTCACTATTTGATTTTAAATTTATGTTTTTAATGTTAAAAAATTAAGCACAAAGAAGCAGATATGTGTAAAATATCTGTACAAAAATAAGTTTTTCATTCTAAAAACATAATATCTAATTGTATGATGTTTTGATTTCGTTTCAGGTTTGGGTGAGTTCACATCTACTATTTATAAAATTGTAATGACAATTCCTTTCAAATATTTATATTTCAAATGGTCTTTAAAGTTCCAAAATCGAAGGGCCAAATATAGAAAACAAGAAAAACAGTTACAAAAAGCACTAGCTCCTTCAGTTTTACCATCTTGCAACGGAATGATGAGAAACATTCAAAGTTATAGTGTTTCAAGAGGCTACCAACCGTATCCTCATCCAAATTCTATTAATCGATATCCGCAAGTAAGACCTATAAGTTTGCTTCAATAGAATACGTAAATACATAAATCAGAAAAATTGACAATTTTTATTCTATATAAATATTAATAGGATCTATTTCAAATGGGTTCATCAGCCTATCCAGCAATGACACAACCTTTTTCAATGTCTCAAAGTTCTATGAGTTCCGTCGGCGTTCGTCAAGATTCAATGAGTAAGACTACAAACCTTAATGCTTGTAGATTGAATGTAGATTCCTGTATCTCAATATATTATTAAAATATATTCTAATTTTAAGCTCAAGGTTTATAATTATGAAATTAATGCCTAATTGTTCATAAAATAAGGTCAAACGACTGCATTTAAAAACTCATATTTAATTCAAAGATTTTAAATTTATATCTTATAATAAAGCTTATGCTTCTACGCCTAATGTTTTTGTTAAATCATAATATAAATATACATAGGTATAATTATTAAAAAAATTTGCATTTCTGCAGGTATGTCGGCTGAAGATGAATGGTACAACAAAAGTCTTTCAGCATTAAGAATGAATAGCACACATCATCCAAATCTGTCAGCACCCATGCTTCAGTATCAAACATAATTAATAAGTTAAAACATTAATTACCTTTTAAGTGAGCATAATTAATATTAATGTTTTAAAATAATAATAAGAATTTAGTGTTAATAAAAATATCAAATTTTTTGGGGTATGATTGAACTAAACATCTAATAAAATTATGGATATGACCAAATTTTTTCAAAACTCTGAGTTTCATAAAGATTGCATGTTTTCATGTTTTTAATTATTGTTTAAGGAAAAACTATAATACATTGCAAAACATAAGATTTGTATGTAGGTATATATATGTGTATTGTAATTGAAATATTAATATATTTAGTCCCTTTAAAAGACTAAATCTAAGTTAACTTACTTAATTTTACAGAATAAAAATGCAGTTTAGAGTGCAAACATAGGATTTTAAAGGCATCTGAAAAGACACATAAAGATCGAAAAATAAAAAAAGGAGTCAGTTCATATAGCGCGTATCATCCAAGACATGGCTTGGTGTCTATGTACGGTGAAGAAAAAAGACTTCAAGTTCTAATACTATATATTACGAATAAAAGATTCCAGACCATTTTTATGATGTCTTGAAAAATCCAGGCCTTTTAGGGAACCATTGACATGGAGACTCCAATGCATTTTCAAATGTCTTTGCTGAATACTTCAATTTATAGTGATTTTCAAAACTAAGGAATATTAATATTTTTGGAATATTAGATTAGAAAAACTTACAGGGAATGTTTTGGATAGGTATATTTTTATTATTTATTACAGTATCTATATAATGCATATTTAAAATAATTTGAATTCGAATTAAATTCTACTACGACACCATGTTTCTGTTTGACAATAAAGTATTAAATGTACGAACACAGTTCATTCAGAACATATTCACGGGATTGGCTGGTTAAAAATTGGGAATTGTCTTATACTCTAAATCATCAATCAACAAACGATTTTAAGTTATTTTTCAGCTCCGAGTAATCGATTTTTGAAAATACAGCTTGCACGTTTGCTTGTTTTTTCAGCATTTTTATAATTTTAATGAAAACCAATAAAAATAAGTGGTAGGTATCTTCTCCATCACAAAAACTGTTAATGTGGGGCAGTTGTGTAATAAATTTTACTTTTAGGTTTAAAGGTAAAAGAATTTAGGGGTAAAGTCTTTAATCGTTTCAATTTTTCAAGGTTGGTGAACAAATCGAGTTCACCACCTCATTATTAAGTTAACTCATTGAAGTTAACATACTCATACCAGTTATCGGACGGCTCTTCCAAAATTAATCAAACATTTAAAAGGGAAGAAAACAATAAGTTTTTTCACACAAATCTTGTTTTAAATATTAAAAAATCATCATTATTCTATTTTAGGTCAATCTAGTTAAGTTTTGCTTTTTTCTTCGCTACTTACATCTTAAATGTTGTATGCTGAATATGTTTACGCGAAAGGAAATTTTTGATGAATCTTTTTATTGAGATTAGGATAAAATTGCAATTAAAATATTACGTTGTGTAATTTCACTTTGTAATTTCCTCCTATTTTCTTTATCATATTTAAAAGTGTCCATATTTTGAAAATAATTATGTAGATAGTACCAACTATTATTTCATGCCTTATTCCACACATGTTTTTAAATGCTTAATGTTTAACTTAATTTTAAATGAGAATATTGCATCAAGTTTAAAATGTTGCCAAGAATATTGACGAAAATCACAGCATCTCTTTTTAAAAATGTGGAATGACGATTCATGATAACTGTCATATTTTGCATTTGCAATATAATTTAAAAATGTGTCTTTGCTTAGTTTGAAATTTATTCATTAATATCTACAAGCTGAGTAAGGAATTTATTAATAAATGCAAGGTTTTATTCCAACATCCTGTAGAACTGCAGAATTAAAGTACAAATTGTTAAAATTTGTTCAATGGGCAATCTAAAAGGTTGTATTTTTATTTCTTCCTTTTAAGGCTTTGCTGTACATGAAAATATCCGCAATAAAAGAGGCACGAACAAACGAGGTTCGAATAGAAGAGGTTCTAAAATATCTTATATGATGAGATATTTTCAATGTAATCTTATATAAATTTATATTAAATAAAAGTGACTTGTTAAAAATATGAAAATATATTTGATCCTTGCAAAATAAATAAAGATTATTGCTTTTAATACTCGTGAGAACAAGTGTATTAGACTATAATGGAAAAATGTTCTTATCAAAACATTCTAATATTTTAGTTTTTTTTATTTATAAATTATCGTGATAAAAATATATTCCTTGAAAAGATTCAAATTGTGAATTATTATTTCATATAAATCCTGCACTTAGGTACGTTTATCTGTAACATTTTATCTGAAATAATTAAATTTTCCCATATTATTGATTTTTTGTTTCACTAAGACATTTGTTAAAGTTTTCTTTGAAGAAAACCTTCGTTTTTCTGTTAAATTTATGATGTGCAGTAACAAAAAATTGCTCATTCTTACATCGCCTTTGCAATGAGTCACTGTTTTTTAAAACTTTAAAATCTAATTTTTACAAAAAAAACCTAGTTTAAGTCGTAATGGGGAGTGTTTGGAAGCGTCTTCAACGTGTGAACAAACGCGCAGCAAAATTTCAATTTACAGTATCGTATCATGAAATGAAAATCAAAACAACAAGTAAATGGTAAATAAACTAAATAAGTTCATGAAATAATATATGATAATCATAGAAATTTCTTAGGCGACCGTCTAATCTCAAAGTTGTATGGACAAGAAGGTCGCGACGTGTTGTTTCCGCTCCTTTGGAATGGAATCCTGTTGTAGACCCTCTTATTGGCAATATGAAATGGCGAGTTCCAGATAATCATTCAATAACTGTGACCCTTTTCAAAGATCCTCGTACTCATGAAATGGAAGATAAGGAATGGACATTTTTAATTGAGGATATGTCATCGACTGGTAAAAAACGGTGTCTAGCTTCAGCTTCAATAAACATGAAAAAATATGCAAGCATAGAATCTACTCAACAAACTTTTACACTTGAACTTCGTTCCACATCGAAAAAAATAGTATTTGCAGAAATTGAACTTACAATTAGTTGCGTGTTTTTACGAGAAGGCAAAGCAACGTAAGTTATTCTTCTCATATAATTCAGAATTCTAAATAAAAATGAAAATTATTATTATTTTCTTTTAGCGATGAAGACATGCAGAGTATGATTTCCTTAATGAGTGTCAATAATTGCTCAGACATTGCACCGCTTGATGATCTCGAAGATATTCCAGGGTTGGAAAGTTCAGGAGATATTTCAGAGGGTTTCCTTGATTTAACTAAACAGATGGAGAAACTAACATCTTCTCTTAACAGCTCTGAGCCTCAAACACCTAGAAGTATTCCATCTATTCCTGAAGATGAGATGTTTATCTCACCTTTAGACAGAAAAGAAAATTCTCAACATTCTGATGAAAAAAAGAATAGCATTGATGATTCCGATATTTTAGAACAAAAAAGTTTGCCCGTGGATTCGATTAAAATGAAGGAAATTTGTGCAATAGAATCAAAAACGAAATTAGAAAGTAAGGAAAATACTGCTATCGATGAGATTCCAAAGAATATTGAAACCTGCTTGAGTGTCAAGGAAAAAAAAGCTCCACTTGCATCGCCAGAACAAGACAAATTCCCGCCAAATAAAAAGTTCAATCTACAGCCACTATTACTGAAAAAAAATTACGAATCTGGTGTCGAGGATTCAAATAAAATCAAGGTTTTGGAAAAAGCCCCCGTCAAAGTGACAGACCGAGATAAAACACCTGGACAAGACTTATTAGAATGGTGTAAAGAAGTGACAAAAAATTTCGAAAATGTAAAAGTAACAAATTTAACAACAAGTTTCAAAAACGGAATGGCTTTTGCCGCAATAATAGCTTATCACAGGCCAGATTTGATGTAAGTCGAACAATTAATTAGTTATTTCTTTTAACAAGACAATCTTTTTCAGCGATATGCAATCCTTGGTACCATCTGATATTGTTGATAATTGTAAAAAAGCTTTTGAAGCTGCAGAAAAACTTGGAATCCCCCGTGTCATTGAAGCATCAGATATGAGTTTGTTAGTAGTTCCTGACAAACTTGCAGTTATGACCTACTTGTATCAACTCCATGCTCATTTTACGGGAAATCAATTGGAAATTGACCGAATCGGTAATATTTTTTTATTTCTAATTTCCCTAAAGTTAAAAAAGTTGTTTTTGGAAAAAATAATAAGAATTCTGCCTTGCTTCAATCAATCAATGAATTAGCATTACAATATTGTCCAGTCAAATAATATGTTATTATAAACTGTACAAGTCAGTGAAAATTTGAGCTCGTTTGTAGTGAAAAGATGAATTCGCTTTGGATTCTGTCTTAATTTTTGATAAAAGCTTTATATAATGATTGAAAAGCTTTGTTTTAGTATTTTTTCATTTTAAGCAGGAATTTTCCATCATACTTCATATTTCGTGTTGTTTCGATAGTAAAACATTTTTTGAACGTGCACGATTTTCAATTAAAGTTTTCCTTATGCCAAAAAAATTTTATTTACTTTTATAGATTTAACAACCGGCGACTCAAGATATGTTATCGGAAGTCTCAAAAATGATCACATATCAGCCACTACTAGTCTTCAAGACATAAAACACCAGCATATGATGCAACAGTCGAATAAAAATGATGAATATAATCCACAAAAGTTTTCCTGTGTTAAAAGTTCCAAAATAAATAAAAATACTGGAATACTTTCTAATGAAGAAGTAGAAAGACCTCTTCTAATGACAAGGCGTGAACTTACCGATCCTTTCGGATCTGATGAAGATGAAGACAAATCGGAATCAAAAGCGAAACAGATATCTGCTTCAAAGGAGTTAAAATCCCGATCAATTGATAACGTAAGGTCAATGATGATTATAAAATAATATTTTTCGGAAGTGGACGCCACGCAGTTATGCTTTATAAAATTATTTATTACTGCCCATTTATCGCATATTAACATCTTAAGAATTCGAAACGTTCCAAAATCGAAATTTTTAAATCTAATTCCCCATGGACTTAATTTTGATTTGTTTCATTTTCTTTCCTAGAAAATTGTCGATCGACACAAAAAACAGAGTGAGAAAGCAAAAGAACTATTAGATAAACTTCGAATAGAGAATGGAAAATCCTGTAGCACAGACGAAGTGAGTTCATATTAAATTCCTTTATTTTTGGTAATAATAATAATAATCGTCATTTTTCAGAGTGATCGACAGGATAGACTTCGTGAACATGCTAGACGTTTAATTGCAGAAACAAGAGCAAAATCTGTTAATTTAGAATCACCTTTATCACCTGTACAGTCAATAACTCAGCGTATAAATTTATCAACAGAGCGTACTATTTCTCCTATTAATAATAATGTTGACACATTTAGTTTTAATGCGATTATACCTATTGAAGGAGTTGAAAAGCAAAATAGTGTTTCTTCTCCTAAAACAAAGAGTCCCTTACATACAATGAACATCCTTGATCACATTTCTCCAAGAACAGAAACTAAGGTAAACAAAAGATGCCATAAAATTATATAGATTCATAGGAAGTTACTCATATACTTACATACGAATGCTTTTACTTCAAATTAAGATTGAGAAAACCAGGTATATACAATCGGAACTTGATGCATTAGAACGTGAACAAGAGTCAATTGATAAGAAAGCTAATGAGTTAGAAAAAAAATTAAGAGCTGTTATGGGAGGCACTCTTATTGGAAATGATGATGAAACTGAAGATCAACTTATGTCACAATGGTTCACACTTGTCAACAAAAAGAATGCATTGCTGAGGCGACAAATGCAGTTGAATATTTTGTAAGGATTTAAATATTGGAAATTATCTAGATACGATATGTTTAATATTTATTATTTTTTTATTTATTTAAAGGGAGCAAGAGAGTGATTTGGAAAGAAAGTATGACCTCCTCAACCTTGAACTTCGTACCGTGATGTCAATAGAAGATTGGAGGAAAACAGAAGAACAACGAGATAGAGAGAAACTTTTACTTGCGGAACTGGTGGCCATTGTGGATAAACGTAACGAACTTGTTTTGAATCTTCATAGTCAGGAGCAAGCGTAAGTCTAATGTTGTCTTTTTTTTTATTCTATTCTGACGATTGTAATAAGTATACATTTAATCGTTGGTGAAATATTTTTTTATTTAAACAGAATCGAAGATGACGAGGATATACAAAGAAAGCTTGTTAGCATGGACATCAATCATAAGGAGAAGTGTTGTATTATGTAGACTTTTAGCTTTCATATTGTAGACATAAAACTAATTTCTGATTGCCTATCAATTTCACATTACATGTAATATTTATTGAGTGAGGAAGTGATATGATTTCATACAAAATAAAAACAGTTGATAAAACTTTAAATTTCTTATTTAAATTTCGAACTGTTACAATAATAATCATAAAGGACAGATAAGATTAAAAATTGGAGTTATAGGTACGAAAAAGGGTACGAAAATGTAAAGTGATGATTTGTTCTTTCTTTATTAAGTAGTAATTACCAAAAATTTAATTCGAATTGAACCTTTAAACATAATGAATAGAGTATGCTCGGCGCTTCATCGTTACCCGATAACCAAATTTTTTCTCAACTATAAGAAATTTTTTAGAATGTTAGTTTGATGTTTATCTACTTAATCATATAAATATTTAGGTAAATGTAAAATATAAATAAATGCTGAGAGTTTTATGCGAAGAATTTAAGATTTGAAATTAATTATTTTTCCGATTTGGCTTTTCTTATCATCAAGAGTAAGGGTTGAACCTTTTGAACTATGCAACATCAAAAGTTTTTTTATTACCTTTTAATTTTGAAATCACGCGAAAAACTATATTTCAAATCATAAGTCTGAATTTCATAAGTTCTCTGATGAAACGCCATTTATCACTTTTAACAGTTTATTTAAGAATATCCTTTTTCCCGAATAAATTGTTTTTTCTCAATTTTTTAAATATGTAAGTGTTGTTTTGTACATTGATACATTGAATATAAGCACCAGCCTAACTAAAGCTTCAATCTTTGATTTGAATTTGATTTTTAAAGCAAACTGAAAAAGTTCTTGGTCATAGATCAATTGTGGCAGAGATTGATTATGACTTTTTCTTTCATTAATTTTCAGCACGTAGAGTTTACTTTTCGTCATCAAAAATAATATGTGTTTTTGTTGAAATTTTCAATAGAGTGGAAACTCTTACAGGAGATGATACCGTTCCATTTTCGCGATAAAATATTTCAAAAGTAGATCGCTGATCCGGATCGGAAAATGGATCTTCCAACTCTGTACGGATCTTATGTCTGCTCGTTTTGATCTAAAATTGTTTCACATAAGAATAATGAAAAAAGTCAAGCAAATATAGATATGGAAATTCATTTTTGGATGTATAATTTTTTTCTATCCTCGTGATTATTTCTTTTGTAATATAAGAAAAATATTCATATTTTACTTATAAAACTTTAACTCAATTTCAAAGCGGATATTACTATTAATAATTCTATCATTTCAAAAATTCCTCAATTGTGTTTGAATTGGTTTTATGGTAGAAAACAGTATTTACTTTCAAGCTAGCAGTCAATTCTTTTGTATAATTATGTCTTATACTATATATGAAAAATCATTTTGAATTTAAATCACGTTTTCATAAGTCTTCATAAAACAAATTCAATGAAATAAACATTTATATTACTTAAATAATATTACCTATATTTATCATTTTTGTGTGGTTTAAATAACAAAATTATCTTATAAATTCAGGTGGTTGCAATTTTAATGCGTGTGTAACAACTACTGTACATTTATTTACTTTCTATTAACTTAGAGAATATCTTAAATTAAGATCATAATTTCAAGAATAAAAGAGTCTTGAAATTTTATTGGGATAACTTCTCGCTTTTTTGATAATTTTAAGTATCTAACTATCGATTAATCCGGCTCAAATCTAATCAAGAACTGTTACAAAATTTAATCTAAACTATCAAATTGATTATGAAATGAAAATCTTAAGAAACAATGATTTTGTCTTTCACATCAGATGATGCAATATCAATAGAAGAACAGTCGTAGAAAGCAATTATTAGATTTGAACATTTTTCTTGGATGATCCGTAAGCAAACAAATGAATCTCGACTAGGATTACATTTAACTTCTATGCAAATTCAAATTCAACTCAAATTTAAGGTTTTTTTTGTTCATAAGAGAATTTCAATGTTAGCAAAGATACCGTTTTGGAATTAATGCAAAATGCTGATTATGAGTTCCAAAGTTTCGCGCCTAGGAAAACACATTGTAACAACACAACATTGTGCCATAATTATTTATATATTATAGTTAAATTATTATAT